GCCAAAACATTACTTGATTTTACATAGAACAAATTATTCATTCAAATTTGTTAGAGTAATTGAATGTGAAAGTAGGACTATAAAACTGGAAAGCCAATATCGTCACTAGGACACCCTCAGTTGTAATATATCACTTTTTCACTGCTTTTTGACGTGACAACGTTTTATAATTCGATGGAGCTGGCTGCACGCACGAAAAAACATGACTCATGCGGCGTTACCTCGCTCTGAGGCGTTCCATTTAAGGCGTGAAGTGCAAGCGAGAGTGCGGAACGAGTGACAAAGAGGCACAATCGGCCTCCGCGTTCGGCAGCGTTCGACATCTGTCTCTCTCCTACTTGAGTGAGCGATGCGTCCGCGTGGACAGCTGCTACTCGTATACAATAATACATTTTTGAAAAATGAAACCATTCCATCAGTATTTTCTTATGACGTTGTCACGTTCAACTATCGTCAGTAAACCGACTTTACAGACAACCGATTTGTTTTAAATGTTAGAATTATTATACATATGGTGTAATCAAAATGAATAGTAAATATTAATGAGTGTATAGGTGTAACCTAGCGAGCAGTGTTGTAGCATCACGGAACGAGGGTAAATTTATGACCTGCTGTACCGCTAGTATCATTCAAAAAACAATATTTACACAAAATTATACGTTTGTAAAAGAATAAACACAAAAGCGTGCCGCAATATTAAATGTTCATTTTTTCAATGCAAGTATAAGGTGGGCATGCGCTTTCTATAATTACTTACTTACTTACCTATGAAATATATGAAGGTAGATGAGACATTTACAATTATGACTAAATTTTTTTTGTTTCTTTTATATTGCGCATCACAATTTGAAGTACTCGTCTACATTGAAAAATATAGTTACTATAGTTATTAAATGTACCATGTGTCAAACAAGTCACTGAAACAGAATGAGACATAACATAATGCTTGATAAACTAGTGTGTGTCTAGATTAACTAGTGCGTGTCCTGTCTATATACATGTTTTTTTATTCAAATATAATGTGGTCGGAGAGTGTTTGTAAATTAAAGAAACGTAGTATTTAGTGGTTTACATTTTGCCTTTTTTTATGCTTGATCGAGTAGTGTTAACTTTATAACAACACTATTAGTATGGGTAACATCAACAGCCTTTAATAGTCCACTGCTGGACATAAGCCTCCCCTTAGAAAGGAGGTTTGGGTATATTATAATATTATGTGAACTTAACGCTACAGACCGCGCAATATCACGCCAAGGTACATGGAAGATAATTGAATTATACTATCTATCATCATCATCAGACTATCGCAGTTCACTGCATGACATAGGCCTCTCCTATTGCGCGACACTTAGATTTTGGGCTTCTAGTATTTATAGATACATATATTTACTATTTGATAGACTAGTCTTAATAATTTAAAAGTTAAAATGTACACATCACATCAACAGCCTTTAATGGGCCACTGCTAGACTTAGGACTTTCCTTAGAAAGGAGGTTTTGGCCTACTATTAATTATTATTGTACATTAGTAATTATTTTTCAAATAGAAAAATCTGTATTTCGTTTAGTTCTATTTAATAGGTATTTTTTGTAAAATAAATTCTCTAGTTTTTCGTTTATATATATGAATTCCTTTGGATTCTTTTATTTCGTTTGGGAATTCGTTGTGTAGCTGAACTCCTACGTTTAAAATTTTCTTTTTACCATACTTTACTGTTCTAGGGTGACGTAAGTTTATTTGATTCTTATTTCTGAGTTTCCAGTTGAGGGGTTTTTTGTTAAGGTAATATTTGTTCGTATCATGTTGTCTGATATCTTTTTACGAAAATATAACTATAGTAGGTGTATTATAATATATTTTTTTAGTGGGTGTTAGCAAGTCAAAACTATACAATCGTTTGATAATTTTATTTTGAGTTATTTTAGGGCCTTGAAGGCTAGTCTTTGGCTCTGATCCCCACATCTCAATTAAATATGAGGTTTTACTAACGAGTTATAATTGATAGGCTTAACACCATAAAGATACCAACTTAGTACTCACGTGGTTTATATGCGATTTCCAAGATAGTTGGTCATCTAACGGTAGACCTAGGTATTTTTTGGCATTCGAGGGATTAAAAATGTTGTTATTTACTTTAAGAGGAGCATGAGGTGGTATATTTTTATTTATATCTGTAAATATCATATATGACATTTTTGATGTCTTAATGGTAAGCAAGTTATGTAAGAAGTTGTTGTTATATTTAAGTGATCTTATTAGAAATAAAGTAAAACTATCACTAAGCAAGTTATGGAAGAACCATTCGTTTGTTAGGTGTAGGTCCCGTTGTGCCTTGTTAAGAATACTGTGTATAGATCGACCAAAATAAATTAAACTTATATCATCTGCATAAAGTGTTAAATAGCCTGTTAGTCCTATTTGATTAATTTATTATATATTCAAGACTTAAGTAATAACAAATTTAAATCCACAATAAAATGTGGATTGTGTCGGAAAGCCTATTGCTCAATTGAAGATTACATAGAAGACAAAAATGCTTGAGAGTAAATAGCGCAGGCTATTTCTTAAGTAAAAATGTAGTGTGGGCCAATGTGTTTTTATTTAAAAAAATATTGTTTCGCTTTATTTTCTCTTTTATTCGATTTTTTTTCTTAATCTTTTTTTCTCTTCATTGACTTTTTACCTTTTAGTTCTTAATAACGGACATACTGACACACGTCAAAACAATGTTGTGATATATTTAATAATGCCATTGCATCTATCTGTAAATTGCAAAAGAGTGGCCATGAGTTTGTTTGCCCTTTCTTCTCATAAGGCTCACCCCCTTTTTTTTTTTTTTTTTTTTTTTTTTTTTTTTTCCCGTGCGGAAATCCCCTCGGATACCACCTGTCGGTGGCATGTCGGACTCGAACTGACTAAAACCGCACGCCGTCGCCGGGTACTAATAGCCGGGGAACCAGGTATACCCTAGAAAGGAAGTCCCTGGTGCCCCGACGTACCTCGGGTCATCTACAGACGAGTAGACGACCCCCCCCGTGTGGGAACCCCATGTTCCCTGTGCTCCCTGGAAGCGAGCGCGCTTCGCAACGCGCTCGCCGCCACCCCGGCCTGCTTCTGCTAGAGTGACAGATGGCCTCACCTGTCACCCCCAGGCCTGCGCTTATGGAGGACGGAGGTCGTTCTGCGACCTCCGGCGCCTGAGTCGCCTGCGGTACCTGGCCCGTTCCCGGGCCTGGCGGGCCGGGAGAGTTCTAAACCTCTCCCGGTCCCGCTCCGCCGTCTCCTTCGCGAGCATAACTTGCTCGCAGTAGGAGACGGCAGAGTTCCACGCACTCTCGCTCTGCACGATAGCCGCAATCAGGCTATCGAGCGAGAGAACTCCCACTCCGATGGCCGCCACGAGGTCTCGCCTCTCGCCGGGCACTCTGCCAGCGTGTGGAGAGCCGTGTCCACAGTCTGGCCATCGCAGTGGTGGCACTCAGGCGTTGGCTCCTTGCGGATCAGACACAGGTGATCTCCGAAACATCCCTTCCCAGTGGTCACCTGCGTCAATCGGTATGAGAGGGTCCCGTGACGCCTCTCGAGCCAATCCTCCATAACGGGTCTTACCGCCGCGATGACGGCGTGCCCGGCGCTCGGTTGCCCGAGTTGTTCCCTCCACTCCAAGGAGTTGGGATTTCCGGTCATCGATTTCTCGAATCTCGGGGCATCGACCCAACTCCCGCGCCTCCTTGCGCCACTGATACAGAGCCGCAAGGGCTCTCGCCTCCAGGTCCCACGGTGGAGTTCCGGCCAGGAGACTCGCCGCCTCAAAGGAGATCGTGCGGCACCCCCTTATGATCCTGATGGCCAGCACTCGCTGCGGTCGTCGCAGTATCGCGACGTTGCTGGCCATACTGGGCACCCGTAAAGGGCCATGGACCGCACAACCCCCGAGTAGAGTCTCCTGCAGGAGTCATCGGGTCCCTTCATGTTGGGCAGCAGCCGCGCCCATCGATACGATACGATATCCGAAGTCCCATCGGCCATCGAGTACGAGCTCCAGATACCTGATCGAGGGCTCGATGCCGATGCGAGTGCCTCCTACCGTGAGGCTAGATCCCTCAGGCGGCTTCCTCCAAAGCCCGTGGAAGAACAGGGCCTCGGACTTGTGCAGAGGCTCACCCCCCTGGAAACGGGCGGTTTATTTATTTATTTGCTTACTATTTGACAAAACAAAGATTGTTGCTATTGTGTGTGTTGTTCTATGACTTTATAGTCTACTTAAAAGACGATTTTAAACAAATTTAATTTTTTTATGAAATAAAGAGAGTTTGAGTTTGAACAGAATTTATTAAGAAGTTCCTATATGGATCTCAAGTCTTTTACAAAGAAATCAGAATCACTAAACTAACATGAAATTCGCGTAACAAATAGAATATACCAATTTACGCTCCCAAATCATTTTATTTGCGCTTCACACCTACAAAATGTGTGGAATTTCATTTTGCCCATAAATTGCTAAATTACCATATTAGCTGGTACAAACGTACAATCAGCTTCATTAACTCTAACATTATCGATGACAACGTGGACTGAATATCGCAATCAAATGAATTATGTATTTTCGACATGTGTGTGTTAACTGACTGTGACATTGTAAAATATGAATTGATGCATAAATGTTATATATATTTTTTTGCACTTTACAAGTTTAAGATCTTTTTCTTTGGTGTTATGCAATTCGTCCGCTGTATTTCCGTTCGTGACTGACTTTACCGGAGATCCAATAGTCCTCTTCCTTCGATAATTCTGGCTTTGGTTTTGCAATGCACTAGTAATATATGAGCTGCCTCCTACAGCATAAAATAAATCTAGTTAATCTAACAAAAAAAATTACCGCATAGAGACAAATGAAAGAGCAACTACGATCTTCTATACGACCCATTTGCGGTATGACCATTAAATCTCATAAATTGCTTGTTGTGATAGTTTGAATAACCGATAATGCGGTACTATTATGGACATAGCCAGCTTTGGACACGATTCAAACAGCTCTGTTCGAGCTCGAAGTGAGTCGTTGAGTCCGCAAACTGCATGTTACATGGAATAAACTGAGGGGTATGCTGATGTCGTATCCGGTCGTTAGACTGACTTGAACTGATTCCATACAGAATACATTTTATAGCATGTTTTAGCACCAGGATATGGCTGTATTAGAATTAGAATTTTTATGGTTCTCAACGATGCAGTTGTAAAATTAGGGTTTATGGGCAGTTAGTAGGTTAATATGGATTTAGAATTGGTGGGAATACATGTCCTTATTGCTATAAAACGATACTACGTTTTGTTTTCGATCCACATCCTCGTCCTTAGATTTAACAAATTTGTGAAAGATCAAATTAACTTTATTGGCACATAGAAGTTTTTCATCATCAGCCTATCGCAGTCCACTGCTGAACATAGGCCTCTCCCATTTCACTTCACTTAGGTTGATTTTGGGCTTCTCGCATCCAGCTCCTGCCAGCCGTCTTGCGCAAATCGTCACTCCACATGACCTGCGGGCGTCCTACACTACTTTTGCCAAGACTAGATATTAATAAGTGTTGGATAAAAAGTATTATAAAAAAGCGTGTAAAAGGCATTAGTCCTTTTAATACTGAAAGACTATTACGTAATGATTTTTAAATGCAATACTGCAATCACAATAACAATCTTGTATTTCAATAAAGTAAGTACACAGTGTCAATTCAAAGTTTTCTAGTTTAATTTGTATGTACAGTGAAACCGATATTTTTATTTCACTGCATTTCTACGAAACTATTCACAGTTTACTATCGCGATCAGCCTGTGGATTTACAAAGACATTACGCTTTATATAGGCATGAAACTGAATCGTTCGTATTAACCGATGGATTTGCGTATTTGGTTACTCGACTTGGGTCCCTCTGGACTAGTGGTTGCCCAGTAGTTGAAACGAATATAATCATAACTAAGTTGAAACATATTAAGATACATGTAACTGGTAAGGTTAGTTTACTTAAAACTTTGGTGAACTGTATTATTTGGTAGCATACAGTTTACTGGCCAGCGTGGTATAGTAGGCCAAAACCTCCTTTCTCAGGAGAGGCTTATGTCCAGCAGTGGACTATTAAAGGCTGTTGATGATACAGTTTCATAACACTTAAACCCTGTCGAAGGAATGAAAACATGTTTCTTATACTTCTATATACAACAATAAAAAAAACTCGCTTTTAGCTACTGAGTAAATTAAAAAAGTTGGTCTATTCAAAGCCGATGTTAAGCATCTGTTTATAAAAACTATTTTGTCGGAGGTTACTATTGCTTTGAAATATGTAAATCACTTTGAGAAGTTATTTTTTCAATGATAATTTCAGTAAACCTGTTTCGCTACTCTTGTGACCCGGTTGACATCATCAATCAGCATTCAAAAAAGCATATCCCAATCTGTTGGTAGAAAGTATATTTTAAAAAGTTTACATTAAAAACAAAATTTTTATATTAATTTTTAAACTACAACTACTCGACAACAGAAAAATTCTTCCAATACAACACTAACCAATAAACAAAAACCTACAATACAATTTAGCGATACGTTTCTGCGCATTCCAGTTTCCTGCAATTGCGGAAATTATAAGTTATGTTTCATATATTTTGTCTGGATCTATATTGCGGTGCGGTCCCTGGATAAATTTCTAAAATAAAATAATGGATAATCAAAGCTTGCGCGGTCCGGTCCGTGTTAAAATGAGGTATAATATGGTACTTCTCTGTTTGCTTTGAAGTATGAGATAGCATGGACATGAGAATAAAATAGCTCGTACATTCAATTAAACAAAGTTTCTTCTGTTAAATGTTATGAAAAGGTTGTTCATTATGATTTAATGCTGAATAGTTTTTATTTCGTTTAATGGCCTTATGGAACGCATTGAGTAAAAATATTTTATGCAGTTAATAGCCTAGTTCCTGAGATGATTGAAAGTATACAAGCGATGTAAAAATCAAAATAGTTATTTGGTGCAAAATCTGATAACTTTTTTATGTAAGAGCAGCAGACGGTTCATCATTTGTAGAGCGCACAGTGGTAGAGCACTTATCCAGGTGATGGGGATGAAAATTTTGCTGTGTGGAACGATGGCGGTAAGTCGTGACCGGTACTAGTCCGAAAAATTCCTCGGAGCACTCTCCATGATATACGATGGAGATTGCAGATTACTGAGATGCCCATGCATAGAGTAGAGAGCATTATTTCATATACGACCGGAGTTGGGTCTTATACAGCTGAAGGCGGTGGGCCGGAGTAAAATACTGCGTCGATCTGTCCCGCACACCGAGCTGCTTCGAGGCCAATTTCACCTAACCTTTTAAGTGACCCCGAAACAGGACTTCGCAGAAGGTGCTCCCAAACTGAGGTGATACTACAAACGGTATCTTCTTTGCGTTGAACGCGCAAGCCTGTTTCTTTTTGTGGGTTAAAGTGGACTAAATTTAATTGACTCCAATTCGAAACCTCCGCTAAGGAAGTTTCAATTCCAGACACAAGTTTGTTTCGATTCACGATGATGTTTGCTCGAGAAATACCGGGGCGGCCGGTATAAAGGGCATCTACCGTACTATAATCTGGATAGCAATGGATGCGTCGTCTCAATACGTCTATTGCCACCTATTTAACAATCCATATCCAGTAAAAAAAATCGGTTGTCTGTAAAGTCGGTTTACTGACGATAGTTGAACGTGACAACGTCATAAGAAAATACAGATGGAATTGGATTGTGCCTCTTTGTCGCTCGTTCCGCGCTCTCGCTTGCACTTCACGCCTTAAATGGAACGCCTCAGAGCGAGGTAACATGAGTCATGTTTTTTCGTGCGTGCAGCCGGCTCCATCGAATTATAAGACTTTGTCACGTCAAAAACAAAAAGACTATCCTCTAAAGGACAAACACCACTTAAAGTCAAAGAGCACCGGAATATTGTGTTGTAGATTCCCATGGGTAGTCACTTACCACCATGTGACTATATCATAAAAAACGTCATGGCTTACTTAGGCTTAAATTACACCCGTGCGACAATATTGTATTCTAAGTTCGGCCCGTGGTTCCGCCTGCGTGTACGTCGGTTCTCGCGTTGAAAAGTAGCCTATGTTACTCGCTGATAATGTAACTTTCCATGGGTGAAAGAATTTTTAAAATCGGTTTAGTGGTTTTGGCGTGAAAACGTTATAAACAAACAAACTCACTTTCACATTAAATCGTAAGTATGTATGCTTCGTATACATAGCCTGAAATATCCTTAGATGATATCAACCTGTAACTCTTTATCGATTCAATATCACCACTTCAATATACCGCACGCTTTGGGAATAAATATTCCACATTGAAAACTTAGTTTGAATGCATGACACAAATTTTATTTAGATTCGGGTATAAAACGTATCAGTTATCGCAGTCTGATATATATTTGACGCAGAAAGCTGAATAAAATAAAATGAATAGACGTGAACGTCATTTCAATACGTAAATAAGTTTTATGATAAAATTTATCAAGTACAAAATAAAATTTTAAAGATATTTTTTATGTATGTACGAGTATGTTTAACTTCGCCATATTTGTTATGCGTTAACTTATTATCATTATCATTAACAGCCTTTAATAGACACAGTTAATGTACCTACCTATATTAAATAGGAATAACGTTATATCTTAATGATACAAATTCATAGTTTTAAATATATACATTTATACACCCATGTGTATTTCAGGGGATTTCGAATTCGTTTTAGAACCGACGGGGGCTTTATATTAAAGAGTCTAGAGTCCTGCCGCGTCAGATATCATAGCAGAAACTTTTTTTGCAGAAAATTTTTGTCAAATAAAATTCATTTGACAAAAATCTAATAAAATGAAAATAAGGTTTTTACTGGGACCGGTGTAGGAATTAGACCTGGACTGTCTTGCTTAGGTGGTTGTAGGCCTAGTGCTTCGTAAACCTGACTGCTATGATATAGGTCGTGGGTTCGATTGCCCTCAAAGACAAATAACTGTGTGATAAGTACAGAATATCATGAAACTTGCCAAATGAATATCTAATGCTGATATAAAATGTATGACCCAATTTGACATAAAGCTAGGACTTAATGTACCATGAAACATTTTTCCTCTGACCCTACTTCACATAATAACTTATTTTACATAGCACACGAGTACTAAATGACCGCTCGCAGCCATTTCATATTTACGAGCTATACCGATACTTTTATGAAGGCCCAAACAGCTAGATGTTTATGACTCGGTTAACACAGCCTATACATTAGCCCTCAAAACTTCGCGTAAGTGTGGTTTCGCAGTTGTGTACACAGGTTAAGGCTTTAAGGGCCGGTTGTAAATTATTTTGTACGTTAATCTGTTTTATTTTTAGCCTTAGTCACTATTAATTTTATGAAGGTTATTAAAGCGCTATTTAATAAATATCTGAAGCATCTGTCAATTATTTATATTAAACTAAATTTGTGGTCTCTTAGAGGTTGATATTCGACGTAATTTGAACAGGAATTAATTAATATGTATGAAACTTTAATTTATATTCAAACGTAATTGATACTTAGTCAGTTAGTATTAATATCGTAAAACGTTTTACCGAATAGAAATATTTGTACATATGTGAGTTAAATAAAAATCATTTTAATTGTTCGCAGGACGTTCAGAACCCGGCATTGTACCCTCAATCGTGGGCTTCACCAAAGACTCCGTGGCCCACGAGTCGGATCGTCTAGCTCCCGGAGACAGGATTTGCAGCGTCAATGGCATTTCCACCGCTCGCCTTACCAATGATGAAGTCCTTCGACTGTTGGATAATGTGGAGGAAAGGGCGTCGCTGGAGGTGGAATATTATATGCCAAATTATGGTAAGTACTAATACGATAAACTATAACACAGTAAATAAGTAGGCGGGTCGCCTGATGGTAAAACTACCGCCGCCCACGAATACTTGTTACTCACAAGTGGGTTCCTTTAAGTCCGCCCCTTTAGAGTTACTTAACTGCATCCACTCGGTGAAAAGCAACGAGATTGTTTTTTATCTTTAAATGACAATTACTTAACGACAAGAATTACTTAACGATATACGGCCTGTTGGTTTGTGGTTAGTGACCCTGACTGCTGAGCCGGAGGTCGTGGGTTCCATTTCCATCCAGGACACATAATGTGTGATGAGCATGGTCATTTATTCTGTGTCTGGGTGTAAATTATCTATATTATGTATGTATTTAAAATATACAACTATGTTTATCAGCAGTCTGGTTTCCATAGCTTTGCCTAGTTCGGGATTAGACGGCCGTATCAATTTTATTTATTTGTATAGATAAACAATAAAATCATTATATAAAAATCGGTATCTATCGGTATTTAATATAATATGCATTAAGTCTCGAGTTAATAACATTAATCAAATCATCTTGTTTGCTCTCTTAATACGGACCCGGTACAGATCCTAAAACCTATTCAGCCCTCCCGGAAAAACTGACTTACGTTACGACCTACTTACGAAAAATATTCACGTATATATTATTATTGTGAATAGTATTCTTAAAAGCATTTGCTCTCAAAGAAAAAGCTATTAGGTCGTATATTATATCTAAATTACTAGTTCAGACGTCCTCTGGTCTGCGTCTGAGTGAGAATTCATTGAATTTTCATCGACTATGGAAATTCTAATACAAAGGAGATCGCATCTCGATAGCTGTGATATTAATATTTATAAATGTAAATCTGGTTTACGAGTAAATCATCTTGTATTTAGGTTTGTATGGTTGAATAACCTTAAATGTTATTTGTTAACGATCTGCTCAAGAAAGTTCAATCCCAAAAACACATTTCAAAAAACTATCAGATATCATGTATAGCCAAGATTCTAACTCTATACACCCTAACTTCATAAACTCTACAACTTAGTCAAAATTTGTAGCTTGGCCGTTTCTAACACTTTACTGTCTGGAGCAGCAGAGGATGCTCTAAGAATACCTTAATGTTAGTTAAATTTTTTAAGGGAGGAATTTTCTTCAAATTTAATAGAAACAAAACGGGAAGTATATCCTCCCAAATAAAATCTGTGACAACAATTTTCATCGTGCAACGAAAATTGTATTCCTAATTACAAGGTACAAATATTTGCATATCACAAACATTATCTCCTTCACACCTATAGTTCGTCTTATTACTATTTTCATCGCTAAGGTACTTCAAAAAGCAGATATAGGGCCCAAACTGTACACGGTTTCTTATACTAATGTAACGTTTGTTCCATTCGAATATAGAACTTTCCAAATTGTATTCCATATATGTTAGCAGTGATACACCTCTTTCAGCTCAGTAAATCATTGATCCTCGGGTAGTAAATACTAGTAGTATTAAATTTGGACCTGACAGCGATTTTAATAGCTGTCTAAATGGTTTAAATTCGCCAAAACTCCAATGTAATATTATTAGTAGTATATTTTGGGACCAAGTTCCTTATGGGATGATGTGGTGAGGGGAATGTCATGAGCATAAGCATGCGTTACGAAAAAAATGTTAGTCGCTATCTTTCTCTCTCTGTATTCACCGCCTGCAGAGCGAGAGAGAGAAAAAGGTAATTTGTCTACTTGCATTGCACATTTTTATATAATAACTCAATATCGATTATTCGAGATCGGGAAACGCGTATGATTTTTAAAGAATTTAATGGGGGATTTTTTTACATGTAAATTAGAGCTAAACAAAACTTGTCTTAAATTATTAAAAAAAATATTTATTTTTTAAAATACCTTAATCAAAATTATAAAAGAAATACGTGTCAAATATTATAAGACACTTCGTTCCTATCAAGTGTCTCACGTCACCACTTGACTTTTTTTTACTAGCGATTTAATCATTTTTGGTAAACAGAAATCATAATCCTATTTTAATTTAGATACTTCAATAAAACATAAAGTATGCGGCTCTTAATAGTTTTCAAGAACTATAGAATCATTATAGACACTAGGAATACTTCATAGGTGTGATTTCCTTTGTTACTTCATATTGAAGGCAATAGACTGCTGTAGCGATAACAGTGTCACATAAATTGGAGCAAATAATTGACGTACAAAGTTATGCCACCTACGGCAAGTTACATACGAGTAAGTTTGCCATAGCTGATATTCAGAAAGTGTCTGCTAGCGTTTCTGTATAATTTATTTTATACTCCGAACATACGTTTAAATTATGTTTTATATTCAATTTAACCCTTTTTAGGGTTCCGTACCTCAAAAGGTAAAAAAGGAACCCTTTTAAGATCACTTTCTTGTCCGTCTGTCCGTGTGTCACTTTTTGGTGCACCGACGTACACCGGGCCATCTACGGATTTCCTAGTCTAATACCTAACACAGAATGATGTCCTCACCTGCCACCCCAGGCCTTCGCTTATGGAGGACGGAGGTCGTTTTGTGACCTGGCCTGTTCCTAGACCTGCTGGATCGGGATATTTCTAAACTTCTCTCTATCTAAAGGTAATCACAGGTAATCTCCGAAGCATCCTTGCCCGAGGTTAACCTGCGTCAGGGTCCTGCATTCCCTCTCGAGCCAATCCTCCATAACGTGCCTTACAATTCATTCCTTACACTCCTCTACGAGGATCTGGTTTTGTTGGGATTTATGGTCCTCGATTTCTCGACTCCACGAAAACCAACTGCCGCAAGGCCTTACGCCTACAGGTCCTACGGTGGAGTTCCGGCCAGGAGACTCGCTGCCTCAAAGAGATCGTGCGGATTTCCCTTTCGACCCTGATGGCCAACACTCACTGACAACAGAGCAGAGTATCCTGCAGGAGTCCAAAGTATAACCGGTCATCGAGTACCAGCCCCAGATACCATCTACTATGAGGCTGGACCCCTCAGGTGGTTTCCTCCGAGGCCTATGAAAGAACGAGGCCTCAAGGTTGCGTCACGGTACGTCTTGCCGCACGCTGTCACGAGCATGTCCGCATAATACGTGACAGCGATACCACCCAGGAAGGCATCAATTCAATTTGACCCTAAGACAGATTGGCGTAAAAAAAATCAATATTAAATATTATGTAACTAGTATAATATTACGTTTGTAAAACCAATTTCTCGTGGCATTTTCTCTCCATTATGTACATAAATATTGCGACATTTATAAATGGAAATGATATTAGTAACAATAACTTCAGACATTTTACACACACACACACACTCTGCTTTCAGGCAGTCTTCACGGTTAGTGATAGGTCGTAGATAAGAGATTGCGGGTACGCTTTTAACTAGGACTAATATTTGTCTGAAGTACAATCATGTCTGTGTCCAGATGTAATTCATCTATATTTAATATGAGTTATATGCATAAGTGTGTTTATCAGTCATCTGATTATCATATTAGATGCTCTGCCGATTTCGAGACCAGATGGCTGTGTTAAGCTTCTCAAGTTGTTATTTCATTCGAATTCGTCAAAGCAAATAATAATAAACATTTATCTTTAAGCCCTTAAGCTATCTTAACTATGAAGTGAATGGACGTTAACAGCAGGAAGTTACTCTATATTTATCCAGAAATCACGTTATTGGTGTCCAAATAAAAATAACTCCAAATTTCTGAAGCGGTTATAAATACCACCACCTGTCAAAGAACTTCCGAAGCGGAGTTCCATATGAACCATTATATCCCATCGGTGGCAGTTCCGTCCGTTTATCTGATCTTCAATATAATTAACTGAGTATCCTTAATATATTTTATTGTGATGATATTTCTTTTCAAAGTTTTATTTCATTTATATTCTTTGTAGTGAAGAATTGTATATTTATTCAAAATATAAACTATGTAGATTTAATAATAGATTTAATTAAATAAAGAAATTAATTATCTTAAAGCTGTATTCACCGCCTGCAGAGCGAGAGAGAGAAAAAGGTAATTTGTCTACTTGCATTGCACATTTTTATATAATAACTCAATATCGATTATTCGAGATCGGGAAAGGCGTATGATTTTTAGAGAATTTAGTGGGGGATTTTTTACATGTAAATTAGAGCTAAACAAAACTTGTCTTAAATTATTAAAAAAAATATTTATTTTTTAAGAAACCTTAACCAAAATTATAAAAGAAATACGTGTCAAATATTATAAGACACTTCGTTCCTATCAAGTGTCTCACGTCACCACTTGACTTTTTTTTACTAGCGATTTAATCATTTTTGGTAAACAGAAATCATAATCTTATTTTAATTTAGATACTTCAATAAAACATTAAGCATGCGGCTCTTAATACTCGTAGTTTTCAAGAACTATAGAATCATTATAGGCAATTAGGAATAGTTCATAGGTGTTATTTCCTTTGTTACTTCATATTGAAGGCAATAGACTGCTGTAGCGATAACAGTGTCACATAAATTGGAGCAAATAATTGACGTACAAAGTTATGCCACCTACGGCAAGTTACATAAGTTTGCCATAGCTGATATTCAGAAAGTGTCTGCTAGCGTTTCTGTATAATATATTTTATACTCCGAACACACGTTTAAATTATGTTTTATATTCAATTTAACCCTTTTTAGGGTTCCGTCCCTCAAAAGATCCCCCCTTTTAAGATCACTTTCTTGTTCGTCTGTCCGTGTGTCACTTTCTGGTACACCGACGTACACCGGGCCATCTACGGATCGTATGTTTTTTTTTTTTTTTTGTTTTTTTTAAAGACTGGCTACATTCTACTAAAGCGACATTCATATAAGGAAATGATATTAGTAATAAAAACTTCAGGCATTTTACACACACACTGCTTTCAGACAGTCTTCGCGGTTAGTGACAGGTCTTTATACCTGAAAAAATTGCCAATATGAAGTTATGTTGCTCTACTTCTTAATAATGTTAAATTAGAGATTGCGGGTTCGATTTTAACTAGGACAAATATTTGTCTGAAGTACAATCATGTCTGTGTCCAGAGGTAATTCATCTATATTGAATATGAGTAATATTAAGGGACTAAGGGAGCAAACTAAGCAGGACAACAGCACTGCAAAGAGAAGGAAAACTTGAAACAAACCCTATACCGACCCGTCTGGCCAGCGTGGCATAGTAGGCCAAAACCTCCTTTCTAAGGAGTGGCCTACGTCCACCAGTGGACTAGTATAGGCTGTTGATGATGATGATGATGATGAGTAATATGCATAAGTGTGTTTATCAGTCACTTGATTATCATATTAGATGCTCTGCCGATTTCGTGACCAGATGGCTGTGTTAAGCTTCTCAAGTTGTTATTTCATTCGAATTCGTCAAAGCAAATAATAATAAACATTTATCTTTAAGCCCTTAAGCTATCTTAACTATGAAGTGAATGAACGTTAACAGCAGGATGTTACTCTAAATTTATCCAGAAATCACGTTATTGGTGTCCAAATAAAAATAACTTCAAATTTCTGAAGCGGTTATAAATACCACCACCTGTCAAAGAACTTCCGAAGCGGAGTTCCATATGAACCATTATATCCCATCGGTGGCAGTTCCGTCCGTTTATCTGATCTTCAATATAATTAACTGAATATCCTTAATATATTTTATTGTGATGATATTTCTTTTCAAAGTTTTATTTCATTTATATTTTTTGTAGTGAAGAATTGTATATTTATTCAAAATATAAACTATGTAGATTTAATAAAAGAAAGAAATTAATTAACTTAAAGCTTTAAAATATAAACTGTTCATATGCATGCGTTAAAAGAGTTCTCCAGTTGCTGGTTACTTTCCCAGTCGGGTCACGGTATTGTCACTTGGAACGGCAATGCCAAATACCTAAGCCTGATATTCTTTTCATTTCTGGTAATGAGAAGTGATAATCAGTCGATACAATAGTTCTTTATAAACGAATCAAGTACTCAGGACCTTGTATTTACCAACTACCCTTATATACTTACATATCTGTATATAAGCATCAGACAAGATATCGAAGATAAATTGAAAATACCTATATATTTTTTAAATTCACATACTTGGACATCAATGTCTATTAAATAAATAGTGAGGACTCTGAAAACGAACTCATAAATTATTAATTGGTGTGGTATTAAGTCCTAATGATTTTGAAAAACATCTTGTTTTAGGCCGATGATATTATTTTTGGTTTTTCTTTCGAATAAAAATCAACTATGCACGTCTACTGTCCATGTGGTGACGGATTAAGAATACAGAGTGTCAGCACCTTTATTCATTAAGTGGGTGTCGTAAGAGCCGACTAAGGGAGCAAACTACGCAAAACAACAGCACTGAAAAGAGAAGGAAACCTTAAAACAGACGCTATACCAACCCATCGTGTTATAGTTGGCCAGAACCTTTCTAAGGAGAGGCCTTTCTCCAGTAGTGGACTATTAAAGGCTGTTAATGATATATATCTATAATTAAACTACTAATTTAAAGGTAGTGGTAACATTTAAATTAGAAATAATGTTACTTCAAAAAAGTATTTTTTTTAAATATAGGTAAATGCATGACTCCAGTATTATTTTGTTGCAGCATCTCAAAACTCGCTGTACATCACAACCAAGCTAGCAGAAGTCCCCGTAGAGAAGATTAACGGTTCTTTAGGCATCACTATCCGAGGTGGTCTACCAGAGAATTCCGCTCCAAGTGCAGACCTCGTGCTCAACAGTAGGTCCTTGGATGCTCAACCTTTAGTTGTGACGCATGTGAGGCCTGGTGGAGCAGCTTACAGTACTTCTAGGATAAAACCTGGAGACAGATTATTGAAAGTTGACCACGTAAGTAGAGTTTTAACGTTTTTAAATCTATTTATTATTACATAAGGAGCATTCTTTGTACGCATATTTTAAGTAAACGCGCACAGAGAGGAATGTTAATATTGCAATTTATAGTGTGTGCTATACAGGATATAAATTAAGTAAAAACGGCTGCGTAAACCTATATAAGTTTAGTATATGTATATTGTGACCTGTCATGGTACAACTTATATACAATGACGGTTCATGAGATGCTGGTCAAAATAAATACAACATTGTTTCTATGAGGCTTTATTACTACTCTGGTTGGGCCGGCACATTTGTGGTGAAACATGACTTTCCTACGGTTGAAGGGGAGTTGGTTCTCTCCCTTCTAGGTTGAAATATCTATACACATGTATAAATACATTAATTTAGTTTGTGTACGCTTCAAAAATTAAAAAAGTTCTGCACCGATTGAGCTCAAACTTTGACGATATACGTTCAACTTCAAATAGTTTATATGTATTTTTCGCTTCAGTTTTCTTTCTCATTTCCTTTCAATGAAACCACAATATGTCACAGGGAACTATTTTATGTATTAGACATTCTGCACTCCAAGATCGCATTACATAGGTCTATTATAATCGTATTAGCAGCATACACCCTATACTATACTAACTAATTTTTGAACTTTCGTCTTTCATGATATATAATTAAGTATTCAAATAAACGCCACACGTACATAGGTCTGGAATTTCAATCATGTCGCCCAGGCCGCGGTGCATTCTGACTCAACCAGTGACCAGGGCCTCAATTCTGCTATTTTATATTAACGCCAAGCCACTGTCATTCCATTGACACGCTATTGAGATGCCATTGAGACGCCATTGACATTAGTCAAAATATCAGTATTCTACTAACATAAATTCACAGTGTCAATACTCTGTCGATATAGTAATAGTATCTTTTAAAAGTATTTTTTTTATTTTCCTGTGCGAAAACTGGAATTAAATATATCATTTTCTTACAAATTTAAAATGTACCGCGTACCAAACTGTTACAAAGACATCGACGTCGTTTGTATCAGTAACAAGTCATCGGGATTTGGTCTTACATAGTTAGTGGAATAGGAAAAGTGCAAAACTATTCCGACGACATTCTAACGACAGTCTATTGATACAATATTGAAATAGCAGAATTGGGGCCCAGGTCCAGTATGTTACTTATTGTGTAATGGTGTTAATTCCCGTACACGTACATAATAATATAGCATTTATTTTGATGAGAATAAAGCCCAAAGTAAAAATTGTACATTTTGTTTTAAAAATCATATTTGAAATTCTTTTTGATTTCAACCATTTCCATTTTTGTTCACAGGTCTCACTTACCAATAAAACACTATCAGAAGTCCACTCCATCCTGCAGAACTGTCCTCAAGTTACAAGCTTAACCATAGAATATGACGTTTCCATCATGGAATCTGTGAAGTTAGCTACGGGTCCGTTACTAATAGAAATTGAAAGGCCTTGTAACGAAGACTTGGGCCTGTTCCTAACAAACCAGAGATGCTCTGAAGATGTCTACAGTTCAGGTTCCGACACGTATCAAAGAGTTGGAAGTGGGACCTGTAATGCTATTTATATTGACAGTATATTGCCCGCCAGTATAAGTGACAGGTAAGACTCTTTAATCATTATAATGATTTACAGTGACAATATTTGTCAGCTGTTGACGTCAGAAGCCCTCAGTCAAAGTCCAAACCACAGAACAAATATTCTTTTTAAGGAGGTGAAAGGGGGGGGGGGGTGTACGTTTATATGGGGAATCAATAACAGGTAAACTGATTTGCATGGAATTTGGTATGAAGAGAGGCAAGACATAGACTACACGCGGGCGGAGCCACGGGCAAAAGCTAGTACTGAATAATACGAAAAAAAAACAACGAGTTCAAAGCCTCATAAAGACACACGACACAAGACAAAAAATATAGCCAGAGGCTCGTATACTCCTCCCACCCAGAGGCATCGCTTTTTAAAGCGATAAACGACATTTAAGCTACCATATAATAAATATACGTTATACGTATATACGTTTACATTGTACCGTAAACAGCAACCTCTAAGGTTTGAAATATAATTATTGTCAGACTGATAACGGTTGAACTATCGGTATTTTAATTGTGTCCCGAGATAGCTTAGTTAGGGCTTGACGCCATCGCTGCTGTAGCTAGATTCTCTTACGGTACTGTTATTGGACATGGAACTGAACGCAATCTCGAGTACAAATGTCAGTATATTCAATAAATATTTTGCTGACAGGAGGTTAAATCAGAAGAGGTTCTGGATACTTTTATGAACTCTTATTTCATCGAAGTATATGTGTGTTCTGTTCAAAAATGAAAGAATAGAAAAATAAATTGGGTGCCTTTTATAAAGGAAAGTGTTTAACTTGAACAAATCGACAGGCGAAATCTAGTACAAAATCAAACTGAGAAACCAGTAGGAAATATAAAGTTAAAACAGTTAACTTTCTAACGTGTTACGTAATTTGAGTTAACGTCAATCTAGTACACTTTAAACTATTTAATCGACTTTAAAAAGGGAAGGTGTTCAAATACCGCGGTTTTTAATTTTACCAAATTATAAGATATACCGGTCGATATATCTCAGAGATACCGGTATACTGAGCGAAAGTACAAGTATCAGTCAATAAAATTTTACATTTAACTTGTCTTAGAAAATCACTTACTAAAATTCAAATTAACGAAAAAAAAACTGACAAAAGCAATATAAATCCAATATTCAATGAATCTTCATACGTCATCTATAGAATCCCTTCGTTCCTAAGGGATGTTTGACCCTTGTCAACCTTCCATGTCTATAGCTTCCAAATGCCCTATTGTATTTTTAAAAGGAAAGATTCAATATGTGACATCGTGTTTTTTTGAGTACCTACAAAAGGTAATCTATGGCGATCAGAGCTTACAGATATCTTTTAGTCGCTTTTTTTATAAAGTAATAATTATAACTTCAGACATCTTACACGCAGCCATCTCATTCCAAATTGTGATAATCAAAGAGTTGCCAAAGATACTTATATATTTCTAAATATAAACATGCATTTCTTAATATATATGACTCTTCTGTACGTATTGCTGTGTTCAATGGGTTCCTGGACGGTTTAAAAACATAATTGAACTCGGTAGGTGGCGCTGCTATCGGTACGTCACCAAATTTGTCACCTAATTTATTAATTCTAAGGCGGTACGAAGTTCGCCGGGTCAGCTCGTTTTAGGTAAATTACACTAGGACACAAAACATATTAATAAACTAAATAAATAATAACAATAAAATAAAAATACAATCATAACGATAAACGAAACTTTTGTTTTGGTATGAAAATGTATACAAAATTAAAAATAACAATCATCATAACAAACATTACCTTTTACATTATTTAACGTTATGTTACTAAACTTACTAAACATAACATTGGAGATATATACTATTTAATATTATTATTATAGGAGAAGAAAGGGAAAATATACAAAATAAATACATTATTTAAATTCATAAATAATAATATTAACTTAAATTAATATAATATAATTAATATATAATATAATTTTTAAATGGAATTAAATATGACATAAGCCTGTTAAAAGCTATATTGGTTAGTGTTTTCAATAGTTTATTATTATAATCAAAAGCATATTCTTTACAAAATAAAAATGGTTTGGCAATAGTTGAACTAGACATGATGTCATAACTCATTATTTCATAGGAATTTCTGCAGAGCGCACAGTTTTGAGGTTACTAGTATTTTTTGTGAACCTTTTTACTTAAACATATCTGCTACTTGATACTTCATAGTGAATTGGATGGACTTTCAACTTGCAACCAGTAGATAGGATGTTTGAGGCCTCAGCTGTACCTATAGGCCGCTTAAAAAAAATATGAACGTGTGTTCTTTTTTTAAAGTCATCATCATCATCAACAGCCTATACTAGTCAACTGCTGGACATAGGCCTCTCCTTAGAAAGGAGGTTTCTTTCCAATATTATGTACTTTTCAATAATACCACAGATAATTTCTTTCACAAAAGGCTGAGACGGGAAAAAAAAAGTATTTTATATGACGTCAGTTTGCTTAGCGACGACATCACAAGAAAGTCCACGAAACAATTATTGTTCTTCGTTTTAATTGGCTCATTAGCTACGTTGTAACTTTCTGTCTAATTTTACATTATCATCTTAGATATTTATTTGTCATCAGTACACGAAATATCGAGTTATTGATAAACCACACAAAAAGAAAACTGAACAAGAAATATCATTAAATTGAACAGGATCAAGTTGTCAAACCTACATTTAAGGACAATGTTGCCATATGCAATGACAGGCTGTCAAGCGATCGCTTCGTCTAGTTATGTAATCCTTTGGATTTCTTCGATGATACCTTTGGGAAATAATAGAGGGGTATCTGTGTAACTCGCTTACTTGTTTGTAAATATTGTCAACGTATCAGTATAATATAATAGCAATCGTATTAAAGGTTTTGTTATTTGAATGTCACTGTAAACATATCTATACTAATATTATAAAGCTGAAGAGTTTGTTTGTTTGAACGCGCTAATCTCAGGAACTACTGGTCCGATTTGAAAAATTTTTTCAGTGTTAGATAGCCCATTTATGGAGGAAGGCTATAGGCTATATATCATCACGCTAAGAGCAATAGGAGCGGAGCACCAATGAAGAATGTTTCAAAAACGGAGAAAATTTATTACTATTGAGAGACGCAGACGAAGTTGCGCGGGTCAGCTAGTACAGGATAAAATACAATTTTTGTATTATTAAACGTCATGATGAAAGTCCTGGCAAATGTGTGAAAAGACTTTGTACGCTCATACAAAAAAAAACAAATATTTTATTATAGTACCACAGATTACAATATAATAGTACTCATAAAGAAGTTCATCTGAATACAATGAATCAAATAAGTAGCGACTCTCTGACATAAAAATATCCTCAAAAATATCTTCTTGATATGGACATTTTTAAATAGATCTTAATGTCAACTTTTAAAGAAACGTAATGTAAAAAGTTTGTTCGATAATATTTGACAAATAAGTTCTTTATTTTCTGAATAACCCTTTTTGAATAAATCTAAAGACAATAAGATGCGTTACAGATACAACGCATAAATAATACTGAATCTTTTGTAAAATATATTTGACTTGTGGTTTTCCTTTGGGATCATTAACTGATTACCCAATAATTGGATTTTAGTTATATCTAATAATAATAATAACTTGATACAAAAAATACCCCGCATTAACCGTCAGATCCTAAATATCTTCTAAATAATAAACATAGGTACTTATATATTTCTAAAATAATACATATTACATATGAATTGCACCCAGACTCAACTAATTGTGATCATGATATAATTGTTTTCCCAGTGCGGGCATCGAACCCACATCTTTTGGCTTAGCAGTTAAAATCACTTCACCAACAAACCTGTTAAACATCTCATACGTCTAAACAATATTTTTTATTAAATACACGTCAATATAATATATTTTGTTCATATTATCTGCCTGTGAAATATAATGCTCAGATATATTGAATACTGAAATCCCACCAAAGCCGTGAAGAAAAATGGCGGATAAAAATCAGTCACCCGGAATCGAATCAATAGATCAAATGGGAACTCCAATTATCTTCACCAATGGGATTATTTTAATCCATTTGAGAGGAAGCGAATTAAATTACTTCTCATTAGGAATATATATTTCTTTTTGTACATTTCGTGTTCTTTTGGAGATACTTTATTGAAACATACCTTTACTAATTACATTTTAAAAACGTTTTACCGACTTACTATACGATCAAATCTTAGAGTTATCATGTCTATCATAAAATGTGAGCAATATTTTACTATTCAGAGACGTGAATAAATAGACGTGGTTTGTATATTATGTATGGGTTCGATACCCGCTCAAGTCAAACATTTGTGTGCATGACGTTCAATGTTAGATTTGGTCTTGTTGTTCCTGTGCATAATATGAATGTTCATATTAGGAACTAAATAAGGAACTAAATACATATTTACAAAAAGGAACTAAATACATATTTACAAAAAAAAAGTATGTTTGTTCTTATATCAGTTGTCTAGTAACCATAGCACAACTTCTGCTTAGTTTGGGACTAGATAATACTACTGATACTACTACTTAGAATATTCATGTTTTGGATAGTTAATAAGCCTTCAGAGAAATTTCATAATTAGTCAGCTATCCTCTCATATTATTTACCACCACCATTTAACCAGTTGTACGTTTAAAGTTCCACAAACATAGGATACAGACGAATGGCGTGGAAGAGTCTACAAGTTTCGTTAACTGTTAGTAGATAATGATAAAAACTACAGTTGACCCTACCAGTGACTTTAAAAAAATATTATTTGTCATTTTGTTGAATCTTGTATGATTTTATAGTACGCTTCTGTGTGCTATTCGAACTACGACTTTCAGTCATTTTTTAAACAAAAGTTAAATCGCACCGACTAAAACCACACGGTGTGCCACTCTGCGCCTGTAATAAGAGGGATCCAGGAACTGCAACGGCGCGGGCACCATCTTCGGGTACATTCTCTATTTAGGTGACGTCCGGCAGACGTAGCCTCCTCGAAGTTATCAGTCATAGAGTCTCCTCAGTGTAATAGGTCCATATCTTTAAAAATGGTTTATTTGAATAATTCAAAACGACATTTCAATTCTATTAAATTATATAATGTCACACCCGATACACACACAAATCTACATTGTCCAACATACACCTATAATATCACATTTAAATTAAATACATACATCACTTACATTTAAATTATATTTTTTTTCTTTTTTAATTCAAGTCAGATCATGTAACCCGCCCCGCGTCGCTCCCGATGCAAAGGTGCCCATGATACTGGCAGCATTGCCTCGCTGAATTGCAACGGACATCCTTTGCACCAGAAACGAGCCGGAGCGGGACTCACCACTTTTATCCCTAACTCGGCGACCAATCTCCGCAAACGACATTTTGTATAATTATTCCATTCCGCAACCGCGTTGTCGGTTTCTTTAAGAAATTGGTATTAATTAGAAACTTTCTTCGCTGGATGATGAATATTGCGAGACACTTCAATGCTCAACTAATGTCTTAAGCTTGTTTACTTCGAATTAAATAGTTGCGAAGTTGTGTCCAATTCCGTTATTTACTTTTAAGGACAAAGTAAGAAACTTAACAAACTTTCTCAGTTATTATATCGCTTAAAATGTTTATTGTTAAAAGTTTTTACGGAAAGGTTTTTTATTTGTGATTTTAAGAACTGTTCTCATAATAAATTATCTAACGTCCTATAGAAGCAAACTCAATCTCAATCTCTCTCTCTTTTTTTTATTGTTTAAAATCTCTCGTCTTTTATGTAGACTCTAAAGTCATAGATCAAAACACACAAAAGCAACAATCTCTGTTTTATAGTAAGCAAAATAAATTTAATTAAAATTAAACTTATACAAAATCTATAATAAGCTTGTGCCGATCTACAACTGCCCGTTTCTTTGGGGTTGAGCCTTATGAGAAGAAAGGGCAAACAAACTCACGGCGTTTATATACATCTAATCTAATATACGTATGGATTTATAATCCATACTTATATTATAAACTAGCTGAGACCCGCGGTGTTAGCCTACAAAAATAGCCTAAGTTACTGCTTATGTCATCAGCTATCTGCCAGTGAAAGTCCCGTCGAAATCGGTCCACCCGTTCCAGAGATTACCCGGAACAAACAGACAGACAGACAGACAAAAATTGTAAAAATGTTATTTTGGCATATGTATGTACCGTGTAAACATACATATGCATTTAGTAAGAAGCGGTTATTTTAATATTACAAACAGACACTCCAATTTTATTTATTTGTATAGATGTAAAAGTGATTTTCACCGATTTAAAAATAACCAGTAGCACTCCGGGAGTGCCGCCAAAAGTGAAAACTTTTTTTTCTATTATAACAGGTTTTCTTTTTGTTTTTTTTTTCGATTTGAAATGCACCGACATGAATATATATCTATATTGTACGTATATACACAATATATGTTTATATTATATATAGCTATATTATCAATGTATTTTACCCCAAACTTAACTCTCGTGTAAACGGGGCCAATATATGTGGATACTTATATACAGAGGTGTCGGTAACGGTAACAGTGTCGTTAGTTCAATGGTTTTTTACCATCTCAAAAAACCCATTATTTTCTAAAAAAGTTTTCACTTCTAACCTGCTTGACGCCAGTTTCTGTGGGCCGTGGTGCTGTGCTGTGCAGTGGCTCGCGCTTTCACTTCTGTCGGCACCCCTGGAGTGTCATTGTTTTTTTTATGCTTTTCACCGAGTGAGTGTGGTTACCGAAGTCCAACCTCACCCCCCTCCCTCAATCTCACGGACTAAGTAAAGCACTTATGACCCTTAATTTGCTAGATATCCATGGGTGGCAGTAGGTGACCCGTCTGGTCGTCTGCCGCCTTGTGCCATAGAAAAAATACCTTAGAATTGGTATATAGTATGTTATTACTAGGTTACAATATCCGTTGTCTTAGGTACGCTCATCATCAACAGCCTATACTAGTCCACTGCTGGACATAGGCCTCTCTTAGAAAGGCGGATTGTGCCTTAGGTACGCTCATATTAATTCCTATATCATATATATACATATTCCTACAATAGGTATCTATTTTAGCCGGACTGAACATCTATTCACTCATGAATCTTCCCCAATTATCCTAATTAATAATATTGAGAGGGGTATTCGCTTCGCTTTGAGGCTTCAGATCACGATTAGTTTAGATAGGAAAGTTCAATGAACCTGTCCACAGGTCCTTCCTGAACTACCAATTATAGCTGTAATACACTATTATATTAATTTTGACTGGCCTGTTGGTCCTGGTGACCCTGACTGCTGCCCCAGAGGTCGTGGGTTCGATCCCCATCCAGAAAAAATAATTGTGTGATGAGCATCGTAATTTGTTCTGTGTCTAGGTGTACTTTATCTATAATATGTATGTATTTAGAAATATATAAGTATGTTCATCAGCAGTCTGGTAACCATAGTACAGACTCTGCCTAGTGTGGTATCATACGGCCGTGTGTGAAATATGTGAAATATATTAATATTAATTATGTTTTTTTTTAATAAAAATGAAAGACTTTTGTTTACGTGTGGGTGTGTAAACAAATGTTTACTGTTCTAGGTTCTGTAGTAGAGATTGATTTTAGCCATAAATGCTTGTATGGAACGACGTAACTTTAAAGTTACCTACCTATTATTTTAATAAAGATTATTCTATTTTGCTAGGTTTTAATAAAAAAACTATTTTTTTAATAACTATTTTATAAAATTTGTTTATTTTTCTTTGTATAATTTTTATAATTACACACATACATAGTCTTATGTCATAGTCATATGTCTTATATAGTCTTGAAAGTTAATTATGTTTGACCATATTAATTTAGAGGCTACAGACTAAAACCTATGATAATGTCACCGCGGGTCTCAGCTAGTTACATATAATAATATATGTAACTAGCTGAGACCCGCGGTGTTACCCGTGTTTGTTGTTATACGCGGGCAACGCCGCGGGGCGAAGCTAGTCTAAAAAAAGTAGCCTAAGTTACTCCTAATGTCATCAGCTATCTGCCAGTGAAAGTCCTGTCGAAATCGGTCCAGCCGTTCCAGAGATTACCCGGAACAAACAGACAGACAGACAAAAATTAAAAAAAAAGTTATTTTGGCATATGTACCGTGTAAACATACATATGCATTTAGTAAAAAGCGGTTATTTTAATATTACAAACAGACACTCCAATTTTATTTATTTGTATAGATGTTAAAACCTTTGAATAAAGTCCTATTTGGAGGGAATCCATTTTAAAATACTTCTCGAGTCGTATTGCGCAATCTTCAGTAGCACGAAGACATGTATATTTGCCAATGTACTACAGTAAAAAAGTAGCTAATATGCCCTTTCCAATACTAAATAAATCCATAAAGTCTCGTACCCACTAGACCGCTTCTCCTTTTATTTTTCTTTTGTAAGGAAACACTCAAAATATAAGCCACAATTCTTAACTTGAACTTCGGAAGCGAGTAAAGCCCCAAACAAATAAAGATACACTTAATGCCGTTGATTGCAAGCCTAGGCTCGAAGTAAGCCCGGAGATCGGCAACTCGGCTTAACAATAAGCTGGGATCGAAGTGATGCAGGCGCATTGCGAATTTTAAAGCACTGTTTCCCTTGTGGTAGGAAGGCGGTTAGCTGGGTGATTAAATTGTGTTAACGTTTGTCTATTGCTAAACTGATGTCGAACAAGAAAATTGTGTAGCCTTTTACACTGTAAATATTTCCAATTGAGATACTCGCTTTGCTAAGGAGGGAAGTGGAGTTACTGTATTTCCAACTCCTCCAATTTTCTTCTGATTAATTTGGTTGCGGGTTCCAAGACAGCTTAATTTCTTCCTGGGACTTCTCGAGTGTCTTAACTCGGTGTGTTCGTGGGTCACTGCTGTGGATCATGGTGTACAGGAGTTACAGTGGTGGGCGTGTGTGTGGGATTAGTCACAACAAAAAAAAATTGAGATACCCGTACTTCAAGTGAGAACGACAAAGTTTACAGAACCTCGCATTTTAAGGAAAGCATTTTTATAGTCGTCTCTCTTGGAGTTAAAATAAAATTAATCGTAGCAAGTACGAAATCTTCGAAAGTGTCTATTTTAATCTACATTATATGTGCAACTTATTTACCGAATAATACTGTATTGCTTAAAATAGCTTCGTAAATATTAACTTTATTTTTTTGTAATATATAAAAGATAAAAATGTTTACTGTGGATCATCCTAGATATAAACCATGTCAGGGTTTTTGTAGATCTTTTTAAAGTATACATTTCTGTAGTATATTATTATTAGTAAGTAAAGCCCTGGTTAACAAAGCATTTGCATAAGTGCACAAAAACATGTATTTTAAGACATGATATTACAAATAATAGAAATTCTAGGATTGAGTCTACTATAATCTCGATGTACTCGCATGAAAATCACATTAAAATCCGGTGCGTAGTTTGTAAAATCTAAGTGTAGAGGAACAGAAAGCGACTTCATTTTATACGCTGTCAAGATAGGAAGTAGTATTGTAGTCTCAGTAATCTCTCTGTTTAGGTTCAAATGATCATGCGTAAGGAGTCCCGCGTCAGATATAAATTAAATGAAAAACGTAATTTGAATTGTTTCTGTTTCAATGTTTAAATGAACCTCTTATTTACAGATGTGGGGCTTTGCATCCAGGTGACCAAGTCTTAGCTTTTGATGACCATGTTATAGATGGGAATAACTACACTGCAGAAGAAGTGATGTGCTATCTAGAAAATTGTGAAGGAGGTTTCACGAGGCTCCATGTGGCACCAAGACACGTTGTTGGACATTGTGGGAGGTATACTAGAGGTAAGCAAGTATCAGTATATCTTAAAAGTATATTATAGATAAAAAGCTTTGTGTTAATGATTAGATATCTTTTTCCTCCCACATTATTAGAATTCCCGTCTCTTGAATTCGCAGTTAAAATATATGCATTTGCTAAAGCGTCTTAAATACTTATGGATATGTCCTAACTGGAGTTCATACTTCCAAGAACGCCTGCAGCACATCTTAATAATTCTGGGAATATAATAATTGCCGAGTTAATTCTTCGCAAGCCCGCAGCAATATTACCTTAAATGGACGAACTTGGGAGAATAATGATACTCTAAGTCAGGAGATAATATATTGAAAAATCTTTGTCATGGATTTATAAAAGTTTAAACCGAAATACATTTGTTATGGTTTCACTGGAGATTCATACTTCGGTTCATTTAGGCCAGCTCAACCGGAATAATGTGCGACTTCACAGAAAGCTGGTGTCAATCAATTCTTTCATTCATGAGTGGTGGTAGTCACTTACCATCAGGTGACCCGTACGCTTATTTAACGAGTATACCATAAGAAAAATGCATAAACTTATTGTATTATATCTATATTTTCAATATTTAAGAGCAATGCTTAAAACCTCCTTTTTAAGGGGAGGCCTATGTCCAACAGTGGACTAATAAAGGCTGTTGATGATTGATGACTTACTCAAATATAACACTACTCCTACACCACTCTATGATAACAATTAATTATAAAATTAATAAACCCTCGACACAAAAAAAAATATACTTTGTTTTAATAAGCCCAAACATGGTGTATATGCTGTAATTTTCTGAGGAGTTGATGTAGCAATAAGTTCCTGGTTACCATGTTGTGGAAATACCATCAAAGTAACAGTATACCAAATTTCAGACCTCTCGGACCTGTGGATTTTAGTGAGAGTCACCTAGGAAGTGAGCTGATAATTTTCTAAATTTATAGCTAAGAACCCTCTCTCACATTGGTTTTCGAACAAAAAAATCCGTATCGAAATAGGTCCATCCGTTCGGGACCTATGATGCCACAGACAGACAGATACACAGGTTAAACTTATAACACCCCTCGTTTTCCATCTGGGGTTAAAAAGAAATTAGACAGACGCGAGCGAAGCCGCCAAAGGCACTGTCGTATTGTTGCAATAAACTAAATTTAAACAAATACATAGATACTAGTATCGAACCGTATCATGTTCGTGGGTCACTGCTGTGGATCCTGGTGTACAGGAGTTACAGAGGTGGGCGTGTGGGTGGGATTAGTCCCAAAAAAAAAAGATACTAGTATGGACTACTAACATTCGTATTCATGCTACTATAAGAATTACGGCAAGTGAAACCTATCATAAACAATACTCAACTCGCGGAAAATCCCAGATGTACTATATACGAGTACATGTATGTATAGTCTTGTGTATATGCCTTTATACTCCATTGTTTCTCTTATCACTTGAACCGTTTCTACCTAGAAGGAATATATGAACGTCAAACTTAGGTCGTATAACTCAAAAGGCTCAAGTTCTGATGTCTGTAACACGCTTTCACTAATGTACAGCTCAGGTACATTAATCCCACTTTAAACTCCAGTTAAGAGTTCAGCTCTCGAACGTACTTCACTTATTACTTATTTTTGAAGTTATAATTCATCGCCACAGCTGGTAAGCGAAGGTAAGGATAATAATTGTATGAATAAGATGATAGGGAATTGCAGATACTGGTTTAAGAACCTATTGTACGTGTAACTGCTATTATTGTGCGCCAAAAACAAATTATTTTGTTTTTGCTTTTGTTTTTTTTAAAGAATATAGGGCAAACTAGCACCTCGTGGTAAGTGGCTACCACAGGTCATGGATAACTGTACTTAAAGAGTCACAAGTACATTGCCACCCTGTGTAAGCCTTCCCCCCAGAATTAAAGGAAGGGGTAAGGTTGAGCTCCAGTAACTTAAGAATTGCAATTAAAGAATTGCCAAATAGTAGGCCAAAACCTCCTTTCTAAGGAGAGGCTTATGTCCAGCAGTGGACTATTAAAGGCTGTTGATGATGATGATGATGAAATAGCGGTTTTGTGTGAAGCCGGTCCGGTCGTCATGGCTCATTTATGGGTATAGCTTTTGCCCGCTTCTCCGCCCGCGCGTATGTAGATTATCGCTGTAAATAATCTACATACGCGCGGGCCAATGTCCTTTCTCAAGAATAGACTAGAATAGAATAATCTTTATTGTACACCAGTTCAGTACATTATACATACAATAGTATTCCAAGTTAATGACCATGTACAAATGGGGGCTTTAACGCTAAAAAGCAATCTCTTACAGGAAACATTTTAAATGGACAAATAGACTGAACAATCAAACTATCTCTATACCAAATTTTATCTAAATCGGTTCAGCATTTATTGTTTCCCCTTACAAACTTACACCCCTTTTATTGTGATGTAACCTTTGTCTTTTAATCCAAATAATAATATTATTTTGGACATCTGACCCACGCCGCCATTTAGTCCCAAACTAAGCAGAGCTTGTACTATGAAAACTAGTTTGACTGAAAGAATACTTAAATACTTTTTTGTAAATACGTACATTATTGTACATAGAAAACACCCACACTTAAATATATGCAGATCATACAAACATTTGCTCCGGCCCGAGAATTGAACCTAATACCTCAGCACAGCAATTGCATACGCTCCCACTGCACTGTTGAGGCAGTCAATTAGATTATTACCTAAAAAAAAACTTGTTTAACCTTAATACGTTTACATAATATGCTCTGTTCAATCTGAGATCTCACATTGTAAGACTTTGGCTCACAGTATAAGCCTTTTCTCAGAAGGCAAACCATCCAACTAAGTACCTAAGTGGTAAGCGACCATCGCCACCCATGGACATCTAACACACAACGCCATCTAGTTTCAAAATAAGCAGAGCTTGTACTATGAAAGCTAGATTGACTGATAAAATACTTATATACTTTTTTTTATAAATACATACATTTCATGCATAGAAAACACCCAAACTCTTAAACAAATATTTGTACATCATTCAAATATTTAGTCCGACCCGGGAGTCGAACTCGAGACATCAGCACAGCAGTATTGCACCACCAAGGCCGTCAATATAAATATTTACAACGAAATAATTGCGTAACACCACTTTTCTATACGACGATCGAATCACTCCAACGGCTTCTAAGGGCAAGCCAGCTCAATATGTGCCAAAGGATGGCTCTTCCACGTTTACTTTGGGTTTAATTTATTCTGGTCAGTAAATTTTAGAAATAAAATTGAAAGATACTATTGGGATTATTATATTTCTAACTAAATCTACCTACCTACTACAATTATGTTTTCATTAACAATGCTACATGTCTATAATACTTAATTCAAATTCAAGATAAGTTACAAGATAGCTCCACCGGACTGTTTCAACTATGTAAATTGGCATGTTAAGATTCCAAGTTCGTGTGTAATATTATCAGTGTTTATTTAGAGTTGTGTCTTATTCTTTACTTCCTGAGATTCATAATATCTTGCACCATTTGTTTTACTTCAAATTAATTGAGGAAACGTTGAGATGCCTCTGGGTGGGAGTGTGCGACTGGCTATATTTTGTCTTGTGCCGTGTGTGTATTAAGGGACTTTGAACCCATGGTTTTTTTTTTGTATTATTCCGTATTCAGAACCTCATTTCCAAGGAGAGTCCTATTTCCAGCCAGTGGAACGTAAAGTACTAAAGACAGTTGATGATGATGAATTTGTTTTCAAGTGACCTGATAGAAACTGATAACGAAGGTGCAAATAGATAGATAAATAGATAACTCTTTATTGTACAAGAAAAAAGGACATAATTAAAGAACAATTTGTAAACATTTGAATGAGTCTTATAATCTAGGGACAGTCACACAATGAAAGTAAAACTAGTTACATAAAATAGTTGTACAATTGGCGGCCTTCTCTTCTAGGCAACCGCTGAATGTGGAAGGAAATTAAGGATGACAATTTTACAGTTCGATACGATGGTATAATTCAAGATATAAGACTAACAAACTCATATAAGTACTTACATAGAACACTGAATACACAATTACACACACATATGCACTACACAGGATAGGATACTTTGAAATCAAGAACAAGATATATATGGGTACACACAGGATTTAAGGACATCAGGGTCCCCTCATCGCTCAACAATTTAGTAAATGCTCCTCAAATTATTTTTTAAAGTTAAGTCTGATGGGCAGTGGTAATGCATTCCACAAACTTATGGCGTGCCATATAAGACTTGTCCATAAAAGTTGTAGAATGCCCCAGGATTATTAAAATTAAGTTCTCCGACGTAGATACACATTTATCTAAGAAAGATCTAGTCACTCTATATTTAAATATTCAAGAGCCGTTTTTTTTTGGAAAAACAGATGCAGTTACAGTTTGAATTTTTGCCAATGAAAGGTGTATAACTTAACAAAATTTTTTAAAGACATCTCAAGCATTAGGAATATATCCTGTATCGCCAAGGACTTTACAAACATACATGAAACGGACACAAAGAACACCCAGACTCAGAACAACAATTTGTGGATCACACAAAGTGTCGTCCCATGTGGAGATCGGACCCACACCACTCAGCGTAGTAGTAAGCGGCGTGGCGACCGCTTAAACCCCTAATCTAAATCTAGTATTCCAATGAAGTACCCAAGTTTGATAATTCTGTTAAATCTCTAAGCATTACACTATTCTACAATAAATAGAGTAATATTACGAAGTTTAACGCAATACATTGACATAATAAAGATATAAATAGCTAACTGTGTAATCCTGTTAGGTTTTTTGGACGAATAAGAAAGAAGTATATACACCAAAACTTTTCCAATTACGTTACTATCGTATTAAAAGGTTTTGGTCGAAGGAAATAAGAAGTTTCCTACTAATCCTGAGGTAGATACAGACAGTTAAATAATGTATGGAGTGTTCTGGTATTTTTGCACTGTTAGAGTTAGAGAGATACAAAAACTATATTTTAATAAAATAAAAAATCCGCCATCATTAAAATGTATAGGTACATAAAATTAATATTAGCCAAGATTTTAATTTTTACGATATTCATATACCCAGTGTCACTCTCTATTAAGACAAATACAATCATATATCCCAAGCTCAAATACATTAAGCCGTTTAGACTGCAGAGCGAGCCAAAGATATACATAAATATAAACATACACTCGAAAAACATTCTGAAACAGTCGTGTTCATCATCATCCTTCAATAGTCACCTTTAATAGTCAGTGTCACAATGCTGGACATAGGCCTCTCTTTAAAAAAGAGGTTTTGGCCCACTATACCACGCTGGCAAGACGGGTTGGCATGGGGTTTGTTTCAAGTTTTCCTTCTCTTTGCAGTGCTGTTGTCCTGTGTAGTTGGCTCCCTCGGTCGGCTTTTACGACACTCATTGGATGAATCAGGGTGATGAAACTCCGTAATTTTAAACCATCACCACACGGACGCAGTCCGGTTAAAAGATACTTAAGGTGATATGAATAATAATGTTATAAACGTTAGTGAGGTTATATTACTATAACAAATAAATAAAAAACCTGAATCGCCTTGTCGATCACAAACTCTAGCAAGCACAACCACTACACTACCGAAGTGAACCTATGTATATTTTTCTATGTATGGAAATCTACAAAAAAAATGTATTTTAACACCTTCATTACTTCCCTGGTATTTATATGTATCTTCGCTAATCTTCGCGTGTTAACAAAACCTGGGTTTAGCTCTCTCATCCTCTGAACTAGTTCTTGTTGCCAGTAAAAATCAGGTAAAAATCAAAAAATCTCCTGATCACATTTCATGTAAAGTATTCATTGATTCGCTATATAATCTTCCACTCCCCATTTCACCCACTTAAAAGATGATTTCTGGGGTAAAAACTATCCTATGGCCTTTCCTGGGACTCAAACTATCTCTGTACCAAATTTTGAGGTGAAGAGGTAGCAGACAGACACAAACTTTCGCATTTAGAATATTAGTATAAGAAATCTTGCATAGTCAGTCAGTATATTGCAAAGAAAACATAGAAATACATTAACCGCCAACATTTGAGAAACATCGAAGTAGCCTTGTAGCAAATAAAGAATGTAAAAATGACATCGGCTATTAGGCACCGTTCCAATTTCGGCAGCATTTTAACATTATTCAACAAAATATATTTTAAGTTCATGTTGTTACTTCTACGCTAGAGACTTAACTTACCTGTTTAATACTTGCATTTGTTTAAATAATACAATGCACATATGTACTATTACTTATTGTTAGTAATATCTATCGTCTCTATTAGTTTTCAGAAGGGTTTCCCGTGTGTACATTTTGATTTTTGTGGATAGCTTGATAATCACAGGATCTTCCTAGTTCAGATGTCAATGTCTCACAAAAGTAAAATTGAAAATCTACAAACCTTTGTAAATAAAATATTTTTTTTAACAAAGTATGAAGTTAAAACATTTTATCATCACATTTTCAATCTTGTGAAATATTTTTTAGAGCATCTCTCGAAGTTGTGTGTTATTACTGACAAAGTTTTTTGGTCAATTCTAATCTTGTTTAACTCAAGGACTTATGCCTATAGTCTGAATAACAATAGACGGTTAAATGTACCGACAATAAACAAGAACAAAACTGGTAGTATCATTCAAATGTTACTTTAATTAGAACTCTTTAAATGTCATATTCTGTTTATAGAAGAAGTGCTTCTACAGATCGACGGCTAAAGAAGTTCTAGAATAATCCAACTACTTCCTGACTTCTATTATATAGACGTACTTAAATGATAAAGTTCTATATTTAGCTCTTCATGTTATTTTCGTTTTATTCTTTGAGGGCAATGACTCTTCACATCGATCCACTTAAGTGTTTATGACAATCGGGAATAACAACTTTATATAAGTTTACTTGAGTCAAAAATATTTTGACTCTTCTGTCAACACAAGTAGTAGACATTTATATAACATCTTGAGATTGAGACATTGGTCACGGTTTATTTGATTAAATTTGCCATCATCATAAAATTCGAGCCCTTTACTCAATTTTATTTGGATTCGGTGCAATGTGGAACATTGCAAAGGTTTTTTGCTAGTCACTGTTATATCCGGCAACCTAGGGATATATTTTTTTAGATATTATAAAGAAGAAACTAAATTAGGGTAAATTAAACAGCAAATATAGCTGGTGTAAGAAATACCACAAGATTTGGACAGGGGAAACAGAACTGAGAATCGCATTATTGTGCAACATCAATTGCAGAAACGTTAGCTCAAATGAACCAAATGTTAAGAAGAACTTTCTCATTTGCCTTTATAAACCGCATCCATAACGATTTTGTCGCTTAAAATTATCTCAGGGATAAAGTTGGTGGTTTGTCCACTACTTTGTAACTTCTTAGGTCTGCCGTACATAATCCAGTCCCGCCAAATGCGAATGATAAAAATATTAAAACAAAAAAAAAAGAGAAGTTCACACGAATTTTATTGTTACATGTTTACATTTTTGTTACAGAAAATTCAATATCGGGTACATCGACGTTGAACACGAAAAAACATCAACGTCAACGGAACTACAGGCAGAGTTCCATGCCCAAACTAGGTTTACAAGATGATTACGGTAAGAAATTGCTTTCAAGATCGATTATATTCGTTTTGTGACGATCGCTCTCTGAGATTTTTGACGACAACCTGGTTATAATACTGATACTGAAAAGATTTAATTAAACTACAGTTTTAATTAAACTACAGCTTTAAAATAGTAGCTGATAGTTTCCTAAAGTAATAATTTATCTCTTTACTTTTGACGTGACAACGTCTTATAATTCGATGGAGCCGGCTGCACGCACGAAAAAACATGACTCATGCGGCGTTACCTCGCTCTGAGGCGTTCCATTTAAGGCTTGAAGTGCAAGCGAGAGCGCGGAACGAGCGACAAATAGGCACAATAGGCCTCCGCGTTCGGCAGCTTTCGACATCTGTCTAACAAATAAAATTAAAATTTTCCTTTGAAAAATGCCACCATTCCATTAGTATTTTCTTATGACGTTGTCACGTTCAACTATCGTCAGTAAACCGACTTTACAGACAACCGATTTTTTGATTAACGATACGTATTTTTGATTGATTTATGATTATTATTTTTTGGTTTTTACTTGCAGCAACTTGGGTGCATGTATATCATCCGCATCGCTGCTTAGATACGAGTATGATACATTAATTTGTAGTTGCATATAATGTATTCAAAAGTGTATGTCTTTTTGATTCCAAGCCATACAGATAATTAAAATTATATGCAGAACATCTGATAATATGGAATACCTATGAACATTTAGAAAATATTCCACATACATTTTGGATCGTTAAGTTTTTTTTTGTATTCTATTAGATCAAAATATTTCCTATTTCAAAGAGTTCAATCCAGCAGGTAGGTGTGATTGGCGGATCCTTTAACACATTATTTGATTAAGTGAGGGTTGACCCCCACTCAGTCGCTGATCAGTAGTGACCCCACTCCTGAAAGATATTATTTACTACACTTAGTGGAATTAACGAAAATGTAAGTAGTGTGTAACTGACGTCACTATGCAATATCTAAAGAAATGCTGAGACATGTATATTACAAAGCAGAAATCAAACGCGTGGTATTATTAACATTTCATTAAACAATTTCACATAGACACACATAAATGTTCAGTCTAAGTCTAAATCATAATTTGATAAATTAAAGGAAATCAACCGTTCTCATTTCATCTCAAGTGTAACGAAACTGGGGCACGCCACTTCAAAGCTCGGCAACTAAATTTTTGATATGAGTGATGCTCAAGGAATCGAACAAAAACTGTTTCTATATTTTCTCCGAAAAATTTAACAATAGTAGAAAAAAATACAAGATAGGTACGCAAGAATAAAAATAGAACCAAGTGCCACTTATGATAGATCTTGTGTATTTATGATTATATCTAAAATATTGAACTAAACTTGATGTGATATTCCAATAATACGTCGTTATTTTTTTACTTTTTCATTCTTTTTCGTACATTAAAATACTAACAAGACAAATAAACACCACAAATTACATGATACTGTATCGTTTTAATCATTGGCTACAAGAGTTCACAAACTACGAAAAGACTCCGGTTATTAAGTACATATAATATTTCGTGATCGTATACTATTAATGGTGTGTAATAATTAGAACGTATTTATTCATGTAAAACAAGTTTCATAACGCATTCATTTTGTGTTATTTTGAAACACAACGTTTTGTGACAGGATCCTCTAATTAAGGAAAATGCTTTTGCGGCAACTAGCGTGGTTTTTTTTACCATATCTTTTTTATACTGTACTTCATGCTAACTTTTGTCCTACAGTATACATTTTTTAAATATATATTATTTTAAATAGACATTTATATTTATCATAATTTTTTCGTTGGGTTTTGAATAATCACTGGAATATTAAGGCTCTTTTATAACAGCAAACTTTCTAAATATATATTAATTCGTAACCTTTATCGTGTTGTTTTTTCAATAAAAATTTTGAAGACTAGTTATTAGTTAGAATAGTCAATAGAGACGGTTCAATCAAAACATCGAAAGGTTTCGCTTACTCTGCCCCCACTATCCCGAAACTCAAACAAAACGATCGTAAACAAAACCAGCCCAATTTTACCAAACAAAGTGGTAAGGATAGACGTAGTAATTAATTTGCACTACAAAAACAAACTCGTGCACAGGTAGACCACTCTCTGGTTTCTAAACTTTGATTTAAGTCCCCAAAAGGTAGAATGTCTGCAAAAGCTTGGAGTTTAACATAATGATCTCATTATTATTTGACCGGCCGACATCCTATTCAAATTAAGTTTACGTAAGGCGATGTTTTGAAGCTAGAGCCAATCATTTGAATAGCCCTGTCTATTTAAATACGGGTTGGCATGAGAACTTTAAGCCTAGGGGTCGTGGAACTAAAAAGTTTGAGAAACAATGGCTTAGCCTATTTGTTTAGGACCTGCCAACTTCCTAGTTTGGTTCAAACATGCGAAGGGTGTTAGTGTAAAACATCATGTTAATTAATCCGACAACAGTGTTGATAGTTCGCTTAGCATTCTACTTAACTAAAGGTTTTAAAATGAACTTAACTTAGCAATTCTTGCAACAATTAAATATTTCTTCGCCGTTTATGGACTACGTGATGTTCACGGAGACCCAACCTCCCTTCGCCTAATTCTGAAGAACGGTGGCACTCAAAGAGCGGCAACTGACTAGTGTCTCTTGAGTTTCAGATGACTCAACCATTACGCTTGTTTTCTCGTTATCCCATAAAAAGAAACTCCGTCAAATAGTTATTTAGGACATTGTTGGAACAAACATTTGAAAATACACTAATACTATGTAAATCATCACCAATATTTACAAAGAAATTGTCTTTTACTCAACAGATAGTCAACAGAACTACATGAGCATGGGTGTATGCAGAACTGAGTCTTTGAACATACAGTTGGAAGTGCCTCCAGGTCAAAGTTGCGGATTGGCTGTTCATGAAGATAATGCTATGTTAGTGATATCACATGTTGCTGCTCAATCGCCTGCATACAGGTATTTCATTCTTATTTGACTCTGCAAAATACTCTGCTTCCCGGCAAAATTTATGTATGAATTGTAACAGAAAGAGTTTGAAAATCAATCTTTAATATAGACATATAAAAGTTGTTTTCGACCTTCGTACCGCATGACACACAAAAAAACTAAATAAAACATCTTGACTTGTTAAGGCGGATTGTGAATATGTTTACTGCTTCCTTAAATATTAATAATAGTCAATATTTACAGATCTGGTTGTCTCCAAATAAGAGATCGAGTTATGTCTATTAATGGACATGAGAACTTGACCGTAGATGTTGCTAACGAGATTCTGCAACGGAGAAATGACTCTCACAATCCTAAATATTTGACACTTAATATAGAATTTAGTATGCCAAATACTATTGAGGCTTCTAGTGGTGTGTTCAATGTTAAATTGGCGAAAACTACTGCTGGACTTGGTGTTACTATTACAGGTAATTTATGAAATATTTTAAGAACAATAATATTAGGTAACTTGTCATTTGATGTCTTTATTATAAGTGATCTATCCAATTACGGAAATGGGTACCGAGCTCCGCCCTTTTCTAGATACTGCAACCTTAATTTCATTTCTCATCCCAGATTTCAGTACTCTTTACCCTAGTTCCATCATCCTACACATTTCTTTTAAAATTTACATTCTTCTGTTCCTTCAAAAAAAAAAAAAAAAAAAAATTCAACCTAAACCATGGTAATGTTACGTACTACTCTGGTCCCAATAATAATTAGTGAGAGGGTCAGAAGATAATGAAGTTCCGTTACATAATTATAACAATTAAAAATATTTCAAGATTTTATGTCGGAAATATTTTTATTAAGTCTTTATTATTGTGAAGCTGATACTGTTAATTATTACCTCTCTAACTTTAATAAAGAATTGTTATAAAAGACTAACTTCTTAAAAATAATCAGGTTTCTTGAATTGCACCAGGGCCTTCCTTTCTAGGGTATACCTGGTTCCCCGGCTAGTAGTACCCGGCGAAGGCGTGCGGTTTTAGTCGGTTCGGGTCCGACATGCCACCGACAGGTGGTATCCGAGGGGATTTCCGCACGGAAAAAAAAAAAAAAAAAAAAAAAAAAAAAAAAAGGTTTCTTGAATTACTTAATTTAAAAAGTTATTATAAACACCTCTTGAAACAGTTATTCTTGATCTCTTTAAAAACTAACTTTGATGATACTAAGTTGTTCTTAATTTTTAAGGGTGTAAACAAAAACTATTAAGCAATGAGGAACCGATGGTGATATCAGATATAAAGCCGGGTTCCGTTGCCCACCGAAGCGGGGCACTAGCTCCTGGTGATCAACTTCTAGCCATCAATGGACAACCACTTCATAATTTATCTTTGGTAAGTTTTTTTTTTTTATTTAAACTCCCTCTGTCCGCTTTTCAAGGAATGTTTGGCTTGTACAAATAGTCTGTAGAAAAATATGTCGCTTGAAAAATACCTGGACTAAAACAAGCTTTCAACCTGCAAGAAAGAAGCGTTTTCAAAGGTCGGCAAACACCGCACATGGACATAGTCATAAAACTGGACTATGTCCATGTGCGGTGTCCAAGTTACTTACCATTACGTGATCCTTCTACTCTCTTACTCCATATATCTTAAAAAATCAAATGAAATCATAAATTAAGTGGCATTTACATATATTTTTTTACTAAACATAGCAATCAATCCACATTACCCCAACACACCATTGAATTGAACGGCACCACACACTCTCGGTATATGATCCATATTGTTATTCCCAATTAATAGATGTCATCGGTTGAACTTCCAATCTATGATCGTTTAGTGGAAGCTGTCCTATTGAACTATTCCAGTCAACTAGCTCCCGTTGAAGTTCATTTGATGAGGTTAACTGGAACGTCAATAATATATCCGGCAAAATGACTGATCACATGAAAACGTTCGAACAATAGCCGAGAAATTCATGTTTGTGAATACTTAAAATAATTTGCCTTTCCGAATTTGACTTATTTTAATGGAACTTAAATTCAAACATTATTTATAGAATATGCAGCACTTTCAAATTACAGTAGTACAATTGATAATTAAATTAAAAAAAAACGAGACACTAGAACAACAGTGACGAAATTACTCTGATGAACTAGTGAACGATCAGAAGAGTTACATATGTAGATAGATTTTTATCTCTATTGCAAGACCTAACATAAAGTAGTCTGCCGTTACGAGACTGGCTTCGTATATCAGAAAAAACCACTGCAAAAGTGATATGTAATGAAGATTCTACAAAACTCACTTGGATCGATGGAACCTCCATTGGCGACAGCGATTATAAACCATTGTCCGTAAATCTTTTTAATAAAACTTGAGGGAGGAAACATTTACATAATATACATTTCTTTTGAATCCTTCACATTCCATTATTGTTGCTTGATCAGTCTATATAGACATAATGGACGTTTCAACAAAAAATAAAGAATATGTTACTAATTTTTTTGTAGTCTCACGTTATGTGCATGTACGTTTAAGTTAAAATGAAATAAAAATGGTACAGAAAAATATAACTTTGAAGAGCCCGTTCTATAGTTATTAGCATTTTGCAACTGTCTATTTTTACTTTCGAAAAGAAGCTAACCTGTCATAACATACTTCAACGTTCCTTAAATTTGAACAACTAACCGTATTGATTCAAGCATGAAACTATGTTTTTTTAAATTATTTTAAAGGTGAAATATTATAATTTTTGTAATTTTTTAGGATACGGCTTTTAATATTCTCCAAAACTCACCTGAAGATATAATTACCCTTAAAATTCGGAAACGGGATCTTACAGAAGACTGGTCAAACATTCATAAGCACAATGCGAAATTGACTCTTCAGAGCTTTAGCAACATTGAAACAAAAGCTGTAATCCATAGCGGCGAAGACTCTGGTCATCATACTGAAAGCCCTAACAATAGTGCAAAAGAAAGTGAAAGAAGTCATACAAGTAGTAATGAGAACAGTAATTCTGTTGTATTTACCGTGGAACTGATTAAACAAGAGAGTGGGCCTTTAGGATTAACCATTGCTGGAAGTGAAGATGTCACTCAGCCTATTTTACTCAGTGGACTTGTTGAAGGTATGTCAAAATATACACACATCATTGAGTTAGAAATGACTACATTACGAGTTCAATTTAGTGAGCGTGCGAAAGTTCTTTTCATGTTAACTTTATCCTTAGTGTTCTTCATAGGGATACTAATAATAGGGGAACAGATAGAAGAGATTCCGTCCTCTCATTGTTAAGACACCAAAAAGTCAAATTAACTGCTTCGACCCCTCCTTTTTGGTAAACTTACATAGACTTTATTTGAACTGGCTTAGTTTTTTTTTTTGAATTTTTTTATCCTGAATCGTTCAAGAGTAGAGGAAATGGGTTTCTTTTTTTACGCAAGTAAACATACACATACACATACTATATTTTTCTTTATCATTACTGTCTATACCTGATGGACAATGACGAATATGGGTTAGAGGAAAAATGTCTATTCTATTAAAATAAATAAGCAACATCAAGTTTAACAACAATAATCTTCAACTATTTATTTAGTTCAACGAAGTAGATTTTTCATGCTCAAACCATGTTTTCTATAAAAGGTGGCGTTGCAGAAAAATGTGGCAAACTAGCTATAGGCGATGAACTTCTAACAATAAACGGCGAAAGTGTTTTAAATAAACCTCTTTCTGAAGCAATTAAACTTCTACAACAGAGTGGACAAAGGGTACAGCTGCAGCTCTGTAGAAAAATTACTGGTAAGAATTGCTAATATGTTAGTATGTTTTCAAATGTTCAAAGTTTTAGGAATTGTAATTCAATTTATATTTCTGAAGCCTGTTTTACTCCAATACTCTCATACTCTTGATATGCTCACAAAAGTTTTCAATAATTTCATTATAACTGAAATTTTAATTGTATTGTTATTTATTCAACCTCATTAATATTCATTCAACCTTTGATTATAAATAAGTACCAGATTCCAAATAAACCGTACTTATTACGTAAAAACTCTGGTCTCAGGATATCCAAGTAACTATTAATTTCTCATACATGTGATCAAAGTCATTTAACAGGACTGTTATTTGCACATGACCGTTTTAACTAATTTTATTAAAGGACTAAATTCTGAGTATTCAATGTATAAAATATTTTCACTTAAATACATTTATTATACTGTTTTTTTTTCCTAGTCGATCCCTCACTGCTGAGGATCGTGCGTCCTTTCATCCTGTTAACCATCTGTTCCCATCGGCTGCGATCAATCGCTTGGTGGAGTGCGATATTTATTGGCATTTCTAGTTGTTCAGCGATCTGGTCTGACCATCTTCTGGGTCTTCTGCCTCTTTGCATACTGTTAAGGTAGTTAAATTTTAAATGGTCTGTTTTCTGCTTTAGGCTCTCTTGAAAGTGCAGAATCGAGTGCTAGAGATTCCAGTCATTCTACGTCGAGCCCTGGATTATCTAACGACAGCGCTGTCGAATCGTGGGATCAAAACACGCCAGTCAGAACAAGTGCTAATTGTGGTAAGACACTTTTACTTGTAATAAAATAAACATCAGTTTTCTTTCAAGGCAAGTAAAATGAAGTAAAGTAAATCATTCAGCTCCTATTTCTGTAAAGCTTAGTAATTAAAGTAAGAATTTACGATGGCGTCTTCATTTTGTGCAGTAAAATACAGTAGAAAGATTAAGTTAGTTTTTTTAAATGGTATCTAAATAAGTTCGAATAAAATTGAAATAAAATCGTTTAAGAGTAGAGTGAATAGGTTTCTCTAGGATGGGTGTATTCCATCGTTTACGTCGGTACTTGCCACCTAAAGAATTTAAAATAAACGTAAATTTCATTACACAACGAAAAACACAGACTTATTTTATTTATTTTTATTAAACATCAGCCAAAATCGATCCAAGTGGCGTGCAATGGGAGAGGCCTATGTCCAGCAGTGGACTGCAATAGGCTGATAATGATGATGAAACATCAGATATTTATTGAATTTTTCCTACTTTTTGTTTATCCTTAATACAAACAAAAGGTAAACATATTATGCAGCTAATTTATTCGCGTTAATATCTAATTTTTAAATTTTGTATTTATCCTAATTTACTATTGTAATGACAATAATTATAACAAATTAATGACTTAGTACATTTTAAACAGTGCCGCATCACATAAGAGATTAAGTTTATGTTATAGGTAACTCCGAAGTAATAGAATATGCAGTACCTGACAAAACAAGAATGATGGACAAGCAACCGTATTCTCCAACTGACGAAGATAAATTATTAGCATCCAGTTTTAACGCTGGAGCGCCATACAGTATCAATGACCTGCCACTACCGAATTATTCTCTAAACAATTCTCTGAAGACTTTCCACTATGAAAACACATGTATCATTCCGGATAATACACTAAAAAATAAAACACACATTACAAGGGAAGACGATGTTCAACAAATAGAAATTTTAACAACAAATATGAAGGATTGTCAACTTCATAATATGGAGAAATCCTCATGTAAATGTGACTACGTTCAAATGGGTCCATACGGAATAGTATCACCGAAAACTAGAAGGCCAAATTGGGACAGTGATTATCTAAGTAATGGAATTTACACAGTAACTACGCCCCAGAAATCTCCTCTGAAACCCGGCGTTCCGGGAACGAGTTTTCAATTTTCAACAAGTCCTATTTACGAGAACGATGTACCAGGTAAAATTTAAAGTTTGTAGTACTGTTTTAACTCTTTGATTATATCCTAGTAGAGATTCAAATAAAAATAAACTACAGTATCTTATAAGTACTGCTGTTTAGTTAAAAGCTATCCTTGTTACCTAATTGAGTTTACATTTATGGTTTTATTGCAATAAGTAACCCAGCAAAATGCATTTTAGGCCTCTACAGCTCAGAAGCCGTATCACCAGCCAGAGGGTCCATTCACCACGTGATACTTTACAAAGATGCTATCTATGATGACTATGGATTTTCTGTATCAGACGGCCTATATGAGAGAGGAGTATATATCAATCGAATTCGAAAAGGAGGTCCAGCCGATATTGTGGGGCTCTTAAGACCCTATGATAGGATTCTGCAGGTAGGTATAAACACAACTCAAGCCTTTATCCAGATTTTGCCAACTAATAATTTACGTACGTACGCAATAGAAGTGGAAAATTGGGACTATATTAAAACAAAAAGTAGATAGATAGAAATTTAAGCTATAGTCCCAGCAAGACTGGCTCAGATTCACATATAACCATTTTATCAAATAAGATTCCAAACGGTATCTCCATTTCAACACAAATCGCCAAACCTTATTTATAATTACACTAGAGTACTTTGATCTTTCTACAAAAGGTAAAAGTTAAGTTTCAGATAAATCATACAAAGACAACATTGATTTACCACGGTAGGATTTTTCATGAGGCAAATCTTTTTAAGTAAACTTGCTGTGTCCCCAAGTTTACTAACTAGAATTCGTTTTCGTCTTAAAAATTGTACGCCATACTAAATGCTCAAAGGCAATCGATTTTTTGTCTACTTGCTGATCTTGCAAACTTAAATATTGAGGTAACGAACTGAAAATAAGCACACAGGATCGGTCTACCTCGAAATGAACTGTTGTATATACTTCATACTCTTTCCATGTGTATTCTTACAAAAGCCTAGGTACCTCTTTTATGGTGTATGAGGGAGAGGCAAATAAGCAGACGGGTCACCTGCAGGAAAGTGATTACCACGCCTCATGGACACTTGCAACTCAATAATATACTGCTTCGGTGGTGCAGTGGTAACGTATGTGACTGCTGTGCTGAGTTCTCGGGTTTGAACGCCACATTTAGTGAATGGGCTACCCCTGGCTTACTCAAAAGTAGGAAAAGATTATACGAGCTATACGATGAGAGGAATTATAATAAAAGTGAACAGTTTCATAATTATGTTAAAGAATATTCGAAGCTGTTTAGGAAACTTTGTAAACTGGCTAAGTCTCGTTTTATTAGTTCAAAGATTAAAAGTAGTAATGATAAGATTAAAACCACTTGGAAAATTATTAATAGTGAAACTGGCAAAGATCCAAACCGTAATAATGAATTTAATTTAAACATAAACAATAAATTTATCACATCAAATGCTGAGGTTGCTGCTGCATTTGAGAATTTTTTTACTAACATTCCTGTATCAACTACTAAATCTTTGAACTCCTCACCATACCTTGCAGAATCAATTTTAAAAGAGAATGTTAGAAGAATTGATAGTGAATTTAAGTTCCAATATGTGTCCCCCTTTGAAATTATTAAAGCCTTTAACACTATTAATGTTAAAAAAACAACCGACCTATGGGGAAATTCTGTTTTAATTACTAAGACAATTATATCTCTTGTGGCTAATCAATTGTCATTTACATTTAATCAATGTGTTGATAGTGGTGTATTTCCTGATCTTATGAAGTCTAGTAAAATTATTCCCTTATTCAAATCTGGTAGTACATCTGACCCAACTAACTATAGACCTATCTCAGTACTACCAGTATTTAGTAAAATTTTTGAAAAAATTATGTATGATCAATTGCACAGTTTTTTTAATAATAATAATTTATTGCACAATAGACAATTTGGTTTTACAAGGGGTCGCTCCACAACTGATGCTAGTGTTGAGCTAGTAAAACATATATTTGATGCCTGGGAGGATGCCCACGATTCTCTAGGTATCTTTTGCGATTTATCTAAGGCTTTTGATTGTGTTGTTCATGAAACGCTGATCAGGAAATTACAGCACTATGGTATCAAAAATAAAGCCCTGGAACTACTTGCCTCATATCTATGTAATAGGATTCAAAAAGTTGATATTAATGGTGAGCGGTCTCCAGGCTCTGTGATAGAAATGGGCGTTCCACAGGGTTCTATTCTCGGCCCTTTTTTGTTTTTAGTATATATTAACGACTTACCTCACTTTGTCAAGGACAATCTCGAGATTGTGTTGTTTGCAGATGATACATCACTATTATTTAGACTAAAACGGACACTTTCTGATTTCACATTTGTAAACAGCGCCATTTCGAAAGTGGTTCATTGGTTTGATGTCAACAATTTACTATTAAATGAACAAAAAACTAAGTGTATACGTTTCACTATGCCAAACGTCAAGCCAGTGAAAACTACTGTGATAATTAAGGATGTCGGGCTGGACCTTGTGGACACTACGACATTTTTAGGTATAACACTAGATGCTAAGCTACAGTGGGGCCCACATATTGATAAATTGTCGAGTAGACTCAGCTCAGCAGCATACGCAGTAAGGAAAATCCGAGAGTTGACTGATGTTGATACAGCACGACTTGTTTACTTCAGTTACTTTCATAGCATAATGTCGTACGGTATTCTGCTGTGGGGGAATGCTGCCGACATTCAAACTATTTTTGTGCTGCAAAAGAGAGCTATTCGAGCACTTTATAATTTAGGCAATCGTTGTTCATTGAGGCAGAAATTTAAAGAAATAAATATAATGACAGTGGCAAGTCAATATATTTATGAAAATGTAATATATGTTCACAAAAATAAAGATAGCTTTTTGAAAAAAAGTGATGTACATGCCATAAATACCAGATATAAAAATAAATTTGTTGTACCCGCCTCTAGGCTCCAAAAGATAAACAAGTCTTTTCGAGGTCAATGTGTCCGATTTTATAATAAAATCCCAAATAATATTCAGGAGTTGAGTATTAACAAATTTAAATCCGCAATAAAACGTGGCTTGTGCCAGAGGGCCTACTACTCGATTGTGGATTACATGGAGGACAAGAATGCTTGGGATTAATTAGCGCAGGCTATTTCTTTCTTAAGTAAAAATGTGGTGTGGCTAGTATGTTTTTTATTATTTTTTCTATTTTTTATGTTTCACTTCATTTTCTCTTGTATTCGTTTGTTCTTCTTAATCTTGTTTTCTCTTCGTTGTTTTTTCACCTTTAAGTCCTTAATAACGGACATACTAGCACACATCAAAACAATGTTGTGATATATTTAATAGTGCCATTGTATCTACTTGTGAATTGCAAAAGAGTGGCCATGAGTTTGTTTGCCCTTTCTTCTCATAAGGCTCAACCCCTTGGAAACGGGCGGTTGTAGATCGGCACAGGCATATCATAGATTTTGTATGGGTTTGATTTTGTTAAATTTATTTGGTTACTATTTGACAAAACAGAGATTGTTGCTTTTGTGTGTGTTGATCTATGACTTTAGAGTCTACATGGAAGACGATTTCAAACAATTTTGAAAATTTTATGAAATAAAGAAAGTTTGAGTTTGAGTTTGAGTTTGAGTTTGATTCCCTGGTAGGAACTAATGTACAACGTATATGTATGTACCAAAAAAAAAAATAAGTATTCAGTCAGTCAATTTTATTTTCATAGTACAAGCTCCGCTTAGTTTGGAACTAGATGGCGCCGTGTGTTAGATGTCCAAAAAATATTAAAAAATAATCTTAAGTGCGTTGCCGCCCAATAACCCCCCCGAACCAGGGGGGTTAACCTCACTCATTAAAATTATGAAGATATGAGAAAATCGCTTAAGACCGGTTTTCTGTAAGCCCGTAGTATCACTCTGGTTGAGCCAGCCCATTTATGCCGAAGCATGGCTCTCCAACCAACGCACAAAATGGGAGGGTCCTAATTAGGACCATTGCGAGCGAGCGCACGTATTAATTAATTCCATTTTTTTATATAAAATGCCTTCTGTCGCTGTGCTGATTACAAATAGCTGTCTTCTTCACTCTTATTCTTTCTCTATTTCCTATCGCACTTGTAGCATATGTTTTGTTCGAAAATACATAAATAGATGTGTTTAGTGTTACGGAACAAATATTTTGTGCGTGTAGTATGAATATAACGTATCTTCCTTAAAATATAATTCCCTTAATTCTTTCTTAAAAAAATAGTTCCAGGTAAAAATATCTATAGTCTATCTATATTATACAAATTTATTGGTTAGTTAATTATAATAACTTTAGGGCTAAACATATTTGATCTAATTATTTTAATTATTAAACCTTTACTTTATAAAGCAGAGCTACATTGGGCAATTAGGATATACAGGCAGGTGTGTTTAATGGACGAACCTTCGTTACTTTGCACAAAGCTGTTTCAAATTTCGCTTTTAGAATTTTACTATAATTTTTACCAAGTCAACATCACAGTAAGCAAATTCATTGCATTGCATTGTTAGCGACGATAAAATGATAGTAATAACCCCACCTTTTCTGTGCCATTAGTCAGTGCGAAGTGTTTTAATAAGTTAGAAAAATGAAATTATTAGATTTAAAAACAGCGGTTTCTTAAAGTATTTATATCGCTTAAAGATTTAAAATGTAAATACTTTTTGTTCATAATGCACGTGTATAGAATATACACGTGCATTATAAACGATGAATTAAAAGAAGATTTAAGGCTAGGCTGGCTCGGCCGGAATGAAAGACACCACGGCCTCAGAGAAACCCGGTGCTAATCAATCCTTTCGTTGCGTTTCACCGAAAGAGTGAAGTTATCAGAGCCAAACCTACCTTCCTCCTAATTCTGTGGAGGAACTAAAAAGGCGTCAATGCATTTGTGACTCTTAAGTTGCAGATAATAATAATAATATTTTCGGACATCTGACACAAAACGCCATCTAGTTTCAAACTAAGCATAGCTTGTACTATGAAAACTAGATTGACTGATAGATTACTTATATACTTAGATGTCTACGTAGTAGTCGCTTACCACAAGGACCCGTCTACTTGCTTGCCACCTTATACCATAAAAATATACCTAAATAATATACCTGACACACGACCGTCTGATCCCAAACTAGGCAGAGCCTGTGCTATGATAGACTGCTGCTAAAAATACTTATATATTTCTAAATGGGTGGCCATTCAACCCATAGACCCGTCTACACCCAACCCACTCAACTCACAGAATAACAGACCCGTCATCAAATCCGGTTATACTAAGAATTAAATATGTTTAACCATGACATTATTGATTTGAACAGGTAAATGGGACAAGGACGGTGGAATACGACTGCTGTCTAACAGTTCCCCTCATCGCATCGGCTGGAGATCGACTTGAAATTATCGTGCAGAGACTCGTCACGTCACGGGTAAGACTATTATAATTTTATTCAGTGACTCAAAAGAAATTTCAGCGTCAGGCGGTGCGAATTAAACGAAATCAGCAAACGACCTCTTTAAAAAAATACGACGTAAGCGTTTGATTTCATGCCATCTGTTCACTGCGGCACAAACCAAAGAACTTTTTCTAAAACCGTCGAATGAAATTAGTTTGGTAGATAGATAGAAAGATAAATAAATAATTTATTTACATACATACACCAGGGTTTTATAGACATTATAAAGTAATTAACAACTGATGTAATGTACAAAGGGCGGCCTTATCGCTTAGTGCAATCTCTTCCAGGCAACCTTCGGATGGACTGGATTCATTTTGAACTGATAATAGGTATACAGAAATCACAGAAATAAATGGTAGACAGTAGTGTAACTGAAATACACTAAAACTAAGTACTATTAACGTACTTTGTTACTAATTAGAGTATTGTTTTATTTTTATTTATAACTTTATGCACATTTGTACATCGCGGGCTTAATGCCCAAGGCATTCCCTCTCAGTCAACCTTGAGGTAGTGTAGAAATCGTGAGTGGTAGGCGCATATACTCGTAGGTTATAACACTGAACTCAAAGAAATACACTACACAACACACTATACACATATATATACACATACATACACACATATACGTTTATAAATACATATACATACGCACACATACAAACATATATAGTATTAGTATCAATTAGTTACTAACACAATAATTCAAAACATAATTTACTGTAACATGTAATGGTAAATTATGGTTTACATATTGTGTTAGTGACATACATATTTAATGTACTTCTAAGGCGTCTTTGAAACAGACATTAAGACTATCTTATATTAGTCATGCACTTCATTTACAGTTTGATTTAAGTATTGCAGTAGAACGGTAAATTGCGTCTCTCTTCGATTCATTAATAACCTACCCATTGATTTCATGACAACCTCAAAACGAATGATATTAAAATAAAACTACATTTACTTCATTTCAATTTAGGATGTTACAAGAAGATATCGTCAAATTTTATTTAGTAGTTTAGGAATAGTTTATTTATCTTCAAATTAATTATCAAAACAAATAGTCGAAGAAAGGTAATTTATATGTTTACATTTAATTAACAGTCATTTTACATTATATTTTTACTTATCTAAAGCTTAAAACTAAAAAAACACAAATAAAACCTCCAAACATCTCCGATCGGCTCGATCCCTAGGCGTTAGGTAGAGATGTGGCTTCATTTTGCATTCTCTATCGCATATATCATGGAGAGTGCTCCAAGGAATTGTTCGGACTAATACCAGCCGCAACTTTCCGCCATCGTTCCACACGGCAAAATTTTCATCCTCATCACCTGGATAGTTGGCGCTCCACTACTGTGCGCTTTTCGAGACACTTTTTGCCCCGCACTACCAATCTGTGGAATGGGTTATCGTCTGCGGTATTTCCGGACCGATACGACCCGCAAACCTTCAAGAAAAGAGCATACTCCTTCCTAAAATGGTCACTTTCCATCAGGTGACCCGTCTGCCCGTCTGCCCTCTCTAACATAAAAAAAAACTGTTAAGAAGCGCCCTTGATTGTGTTCCGTCTACCGTTACATTAATTATAAATCTCTGTCATATTGTAGTGACATTAAAACCACTTAAAAACGAATATTGATTAAGCTTAAACAGAATCAATTCATAAATAAAAATTCCATTGGTTCAGAAACAAACAGATTTCTTAACTGTTTTTTCCCAATCAACATCAAAGTAAACCCTATTCAACAAATAAATAATGATTGAAATTGGAGTACTCTCTGAAATGATACATAAAAAGATTAAAAGAAAACATAAAATATACGAGCCTCCGATTCCTGTCTCTGTTCCGCTTTTTAGCTCCTTCCTATTTCCGTTGGTCCATTTATTTTAAACAAGTGGTAATACTTTCAAGCTTAAATAGGCAGAAAGCTGAAGGGATTAATCAAAAGAGAGACATAATCATCACACCTTTCTCTAATACTGTATGTATAAATGTAAATACAATACGAGTATAACGATAGTACCAATTCTGTTAAGATAACGCCACACCACATTTTTCAACTTCATTTTTAACAAGAAAACTGTCCAATTCCTTAACACCCCCTACCGCATAATATTTCATATCATACCGAGAAACACAAAGGAATTCAGAAACTGTATATTTTAATGTAGAAACGGCATATAATGCATGTAATATTCTGTACGAACCCAATAATGTACCATTTTCATACACGACTGGTTAAAAGATGTTTATTCTATGATTTGAAGGCATTTCGCTTTTGCATTTGACGTACAATTTATCCTTTTGACAAAGAAAATTATGTTAAGTGATGAGCTTCTTTGACTTGTAAGAAGTCGTGAAAAAAATATAAATTTTAATGTTCTGTGTTCGGATGTTTAAGGATAAAAGACTATTTTATTCTTTTTTTTTTGGTTTTGTAGCTATTTATGGATTTGTTTAAGTGGCATCAATGACAAAATTAATACGAGTAATCAGTAATCTATGTAATATTAGTGCCACAGTTTTATAACAATAATAGGTTAGATGGGTGGATTAAGGGTCCGATGCAACCCGATGCCGAATCTGCGACCCCTGGTTCAGAAGTCTAGATCACTAAAAACTAGATCAACATACTATATGTCTGCTATGTTCACATAGTTATATATATTGTAACTGGTTTACGATTTTACAGTAAATTGATCAAATTATGATTAAACTAGAAGGCAACCCAATTTCGCTTATACATATATATGTACGTAGTGAAAGCTTACAATCACTATTTGATTGTACAAAGGCTCAGATCATACGGATGAGGAAGTAAAATTTAGATTGGTTTGAACTAGGATTGACCGTTTAATTTAAAAGCAAAATATATTTTTTAACCTGCAAAGGATTTTCGAATTGAACTGGTCAGTTTTTTATGTATCGAAAAATTAATTTTAATGCATAAAATACACATTTGGATATCGATGCCGATTGTACAATTTTTAGCAACCAAATTTTTACTTTTTAAGAGCTGTTCTAAAAACTGTTTCCTAAAATATTTGAAATTTAAATAAGGATATTATTTTTAGTCAATCAAATAGGTTTGATTGTCTGATCTGTTGTTCCAGTGGTTAGTGACCCTTACTACTGAGCAAGAGGTTGTGGAGTTGTTTTTCACCCAGCACATATAATTGTGTGATGAGAACGATATTATTTGCACTGTTTTGTACAAGACTCAAAATAATTTTACTTACTATACAATGGGGATAATTAACAAATTCCTTTTTATTCGTTATTCTTTTGTTAAAATATTGTATAATTCAAATGTAATGTAAATTTTATCACTGTCACTTTAGAGTGGCTTTTTGCGTGGGAGAACAAAAATAAAATGAAATTGTGCTTTATTAAATAATATCTCTATTTTGTTTTCAGTTTTTTACATTTTTCTAAGCCTTACTTTCATTCCAGGATTTGAAAAATCAACGGCTGGATGACAACTCAAGCCCGAGCGACAGCAGTATCGTGACAAAGACAATTTAGTGTATAACCCGACTTTAGTGAAATTCACACCAGACTTTGAAAGTGTTAGCTTTAAGTGAATATTTCATACGCCGTGTCATAATATAGTACTTAATATTAGAATAAGCATTGTAAATATTGCAAATTGTAAGCTTTGGGCCTTTACCTTTAAAGTTTAGATTTAAATACATTTTTTTTCATGTGTTTTATCAAATATGTATTTGTTTAACCGCGGTTAAATTGCATTAATGTTTATAAGCTACAGACGTGACCACCATTGATTCAATCCGTTAAACGTCGATTAACCAAAAAGCAGTCATTTATTATCGCAATTAAATTTTACGGTTTACATGTATTATTTCAATGAATTCATTGCAGCTGGTTTGCAAGCTGTCTTGTCTATGTTACGTTATCGTCACAAATTATTAAAACTACTAATTCAAAACTTCAAGACACAATTTATATTTTTAATATCATCATTCAATAATCAATATCATCATTAAAAGAAAGAAAAAGAAAAAAAAACAAATAAAAAAGGATTTATCATATGATATAATAATATCATATGATAAATCCTTTTTTATTTGTTTTTTTTTCTTTTTCTTTCTTTTTTAAAAAGACAACTCCCGCACTAGGAATAAATCCTGTGTCGCGGGGGACTTTACAAACATACATGAAACGGACACAAAGTACACCCAGACTCAGAACAACAATTTGTGGATCACACAAAGTGTTGTCCCATGTGGGGATCGAACCCACAACACTCAGCACCATAGGAAGCAGCGTGGCGATCGCTTAAACCACTACGCTAACCGTGCAGTCTCTCTGTTTAATTAATAAATTATAATCATGATCAAAATTACATCAAAAAGGTGACTTATACCGTTAGTCTAATTCTCTTCACTCTTTTTATGAATTTCAATGATCTTTTTATATGATTAGATTAGAGGGAACTATCGCTGTTAAAATCGTCGTATCCCTTTAATTATGTATCATATTACGAAAAATATTATTGGTTGTAGTTCATTCTGTGTTAAAAGAACGCGCGATTCCTGTACGGTCGCGGTCATAAGTCCAGTCCCACTTTGACGAAATCATAGCATTATAACTAGTTGGACTTATGACCTTCTTCTATTAACATAAATCATACACACATATGCACGCTACATGCGTATGATTTGATGACTAATTTCGACGTAATTACCATACCTACAGTGGATAAATGAAACCTATTTTGTAATTTATACTGCTTTAAAATATGTACAGGTACATTTATTTCAATTATTAACAGTAAAATCTATTTTTAATTTTTATTTTCAGTTTCATATCATAATAAGAATAAATGAAATGAACCGTAAGCTTGGTGCAAGTATATTTTAAGAATTTATTAATAATATTATCGCCAAAGACGATTAATAAAATGTAAATAAAATAAATAGATGTAGTTTATAATTTAATGTTAAGCTAATAATAGATTTAAATGTTGTTTTAGAATCCCATAATGTGCCTACGTGTTCAAATAATGCCTGGATTGTGTGGGAGGAATACGTTTCTTTTGTTACATTGAAGTAATCATAATTAAATATTTTGTATAATAATCTGTGACCTCAATATAAATCCTTTAAGTTTAGCTAAGCTAGACTTAAGTGTGTATAAAATATAAAGGATCTAATGGGCAATCGGACAGTTATCAAAAATGAAACTATAATGTACTTAGTTAAAATGAATATCTATATAACAAGACACTTCAGGCATTAAAAACTACCAAAGATGGTCCTATGTCAGCAACGCCAGATCTTGCCAAATAAAATATAGACTTTATCTTACAGTAATTTAGTTTCAGCCTCAACTAAGTTTAAAAGTATTTTATAATAAAACAAAATAAACATAAAATGTATAAAATTACAATAAAATTTATTAATTTAACTTATTTTAAAGAACATATAAATAATAAAATAATAAGCTTATTTTATTTTGAAAATAAACTATCCTTTTAATTTCTGAAATTTTGTAATTGGCTTTTTTTTTAATAAATGATTGGTTAAAATAAATTTGTAACTGTGTGAACATGCATAATATAAAAAGTGAAAGTTTCCCAGTTATAACTGTAAATAATAACAAAAAATAACTGTGTAAAAGTAGCTGTATTGTTGTTGAAATCAGACTGATAGCGATTTTAAAAATAGTTATTTAGAAAATGTATACAATTGTAGAAATAAAACTGGTCTGCTTTTAGTGATTTTTTAGAAATATCTTAAGTGATCCATTAATCAACTTGCCGTTACTATTATTACGGTATGAGATCCGGTCATTTATTCCCTAACCCTGATTCCGAAAGTTTTTAACCTATCCCTTTTTTCAGAATATTACATTACATCAACAGTTTTTAATAGTCCACTGCTGGACGTAGGCCTCTCCTTAGAAAGGAGGTGTTGGTCTGCTACACTACGTTGGCCGGACGGGTTGGTATAGAGTTTGTGTCAAGTTTGCCTTCTTTTTGCAGTGTCATGTTGTCCTGCGTACTTTGATTCCTTTTTTGATTGCTCTACGGGATGAATAGGGGTGGCGACACCCTATGTTCTTAATCCGTTACCACATGGATCAAAACATAACCATCATTTTCATATTGTATTTTTAAGGGTAACTCTAATCGACTTTTTTTTTCATTTGTTCTATAAATTTAATTTAAAATGGATCCTTTAGACGTTTTTAAAAATAATTCTGAATTCGAGTTTTTACTTAGAATAAAACACTATTATTGATTGATTTTTCTGAAATTTAAAAAAATACTTATTCGTCAGAAATCTATATAAGAATAGGTCTGTGTCCTTTGATTGAGAGAAAAATCATTAAAGAAAAATTTAAACAAAAAACAGTAGCATTGAACCATTGAAAAAGTTATTCTGAAATGAAAGGAAAATCTCAATTTTTAGCGATTTTTATTTGGATGAAAAATGCCAATCACTAAAGCATGATGTAAGTGTATAAATAGTAAATAAAATGTAAGGTTTGTAAACATTATTGAACTCTTAGAAACCATAAAGACTTTGTTATGTTATAGGAGTTACTGACATACATAGTTTGTTGTAGATAGAAAAAATATATAAGTATATAACAAATACATTATTTCTGTTCTCAAGTGTTTTTGTTACGTATTATAAAAAACTTCAAGATTTTTCGGGTTAAAATTAGTTGTTGAATTAGTCGATGCAATATACGGAATTGGTTTGATAAATGCATTTCTCTGACTCACTCTGACTAAATAAATTTGAAGCATGTCGAAATGGCAAATTATTAAAAAAAGTCTAATTTTAAATAAGATAGTGTTTTAAAATAAAATATTCTGATGAAACTTTATGATATTTCGCTTTGAAACGTTTTCCTATAGTTTGCTTAGTGATTGAACATTCTTCCTTAACATAATTATTAATTATGTATGTAGATAGTTGGTAATTTTTTACATTTTATTTTTGTACCCTTAATTTTAAGAATAATTTATATTATGGTCAATTAATGTGTAATTAATTGAAACAAATAGAAGAAAGCCTAGCTACAACACTCTTAATAAAATGATATGCGTGAATAAATCTTCGCTGTTTCATTTCACCTTATTTTTGCTATAAAACAACTATTGTAAAATACATCTGTGCTCATTTTTATTTAATATTATTAATAAATAACTATATGGTATCATAAATATGGACTTTAAATTCTCATAATCATCAATGATATTAAATTGCGGTAACATAATAAATATGGGTGCAAGTTCGAACCCTCACTACACTACCGATGGGAACCTACTCATAATACAAACTTTAAGATTAGCTGGAGGACTCAAAAGTCGCAAGTAGATTAGCAACCCTTTTAGGCTTCTCCCCTTCCTAGAAATAAAAGGAGGGAGGGTTTTGGGCTTCCGTAAGGACTCACTTGGTGAAAAGTAACAAAAGAGCTGCTCAAAACTGGTATCTGAGGGGCCGTGGCAGCCGGCCGATTTGTGTCGAAGCATCGCTCTCCCACGACTCTCTCACAAGATTTTTTTAGAACGTGGAGAGCCATTATTAGGCACATATCAGCATTGTCAACCGGAATGATATCACGACCTCTCAGGAAACTGTTGTTAAGCAATTAATCAATTAGCAATAACTTCGTACATCTCACACACGGCAGTCTGGTCCCAAACTAGGCAGAGCCTGTATTATGGTAGCCAATCTGCTGATAAATATACTTATACATTTCTAAATACATACATATTATAGATAAATTACACCCAGACACAAAACAAATGATAGTGTTCATCACACAATTATTTGTTCTGGGTGGGAATCCTCTTAGTGTTATCCCTAAGCCAATCAGCCCGATATTGAAGTGAACCGCTAGGTCCTCTTCGTGGGCGCATCCTCATCCACCAAGGTGGTGTTCAACACATGCCGATACTACTCTCACTGTCAGAGATATCAAACTGCTTAATAATCTATTACGTGCAGATCAGGATGTGCCGTAAGAGTACTGCTGTACTTGAATTCATCTTAAGTTGGAATATAATAATGTACTTGTTTTTGTGTTTCAGTAAGTGATCTAAATTGTTGTTCTATTATTATATTAAACATAGTAAATGCTTTAGTTCCACAACTGTAAGCTTTTTTGTTATAATTAATTATAGTAGGCATTGAATTGTCAGACCTGCAAAAGGTACTTCTAAAATGCATAGGTTCATTCATCAATCATCAACAGCCTTTAACAGTCCACTGCTGGTCTCTCCTCCTTAGAAAGGAGGTTTTCGCCTACTATACCACGCTGGCCCGACGGCTTGGTATAGGGTTTTTTCAAGTTTTCCTTCTCTTTGCAGTGCTACAACAGCACTGCAATGAAAAGGAAAACTTGACACTTGAACCTGCGCTGTTTGCTCCCTTAGTCGTCTCTTATGACACCCACGGGATGAACAAGGGTGGTGACCCTCCGTATTCTTAATCACACGGACATTTATCTTTTAAAATTGATTGAAATAAATATGTATTAAGTCT